CCCATATATGCTGTATCTTCATTTCCTAAAGCTTATACCTCAAATATGCCATGTCTTTCCCCCTCATCTCCTAATATTGATTTCTTTCTTAAATTTAAGTATCAATTAAGACCTTTGTCATGTAAAAGAAGAAAGAAAACAAGTAGGTACACAAGGAAGAATCATCTATGTTTTAATTAAATTTAATATAATACACTCCTTTTGTCTCATTTTCTTTATCTATTTTTTCTTTATTAAAAAACATCGAACATTTGTATTATAAAAACATTAACAAATTTTAATATAAAATATATCAAAATCAAAGTTTTTATCTTAATTTTTGTGAAAAATAAAGAAAAAATTATACATTCAAAGATGAACGGAATATATATTTTATATAATTATTTTGATAGGGGTGAAATGAAGAGATTTAAGACTAATATGGAAGGGAATATATAAGTGGTGAGGATCACTAAAGGTTCAAGAATATAAGATTTTGTAGCAATTAGACTTAGAGTTGAGATTTTTTGGGATCTTTTCAATCACTTCGTATTTGGGTTCCTTCCTGCCACTTTTGTTGAACAAATTCGTGGGGAAATAATGGACTGTTGTAAGAACAAGGACAGGCACAAAAATGATGCATTGTTAGAATAGAAGAAGGATATTTTGTTGTTTTTTTTCAACTAATTTCCATCCTAATCTTATCATGTCATTCTCTATGAATCATCTGCCCTATTTAATCTGTCATTTTCTGTGGAATTAGCTATAAAATTTTCTTGATTAGTTATTCTCTTACGTCTACACGGAAATTGATTAAACCTTATACAATGGTTGGATTAATTTTGGAACATGTTGCAAATCCTTGTCATTCAATGCTGTAATGTCAAGAAGTTAGCAGATACTTACAAGACAGGTTAAGGAAAATGCTGGAGCAAACGTTGGAAATAGTTATTTTACATCGACTTCTTATCTTGGAAATTATGTATCAGACTTTGAAGTAGTCCAACTAGAGGTTGAGTGTTTGAATGACTAAACCTTGCAAGATGGGGAAGAACAGAACCCGAATTCCCAGTTCTTTTTAATTGACGAATGGTACATGTTTTGACAGTAATGACGACAACATGTTGGAAATGTTTTCAATATCATATTCCTGAAACCCTGAAACAAGTTACAGCCATAGGAAAAGTTCAGACCTTCTCCATGAGTTGCACATCGCGAAGCCAAAGACAGGAAGCGAGACACAGAGAGAGAGTGGGGACAAAAAGGGTTCAAAACGACAGTAGCTTGATTGAATCATAGTGCATGGAAAAGAATCTGACAAAAGCCCAAGTTGAGAATGTTCATTTTAAGCACCAAAGTGAGAACTTGTTCTCTGGTGTCAAACCAGAATTTGCAAATGCTGTTTTGAGGCCACTGAAAAGTGTCTATCCTTTCATTTTCACTGTTCCATTGGGCCCCAAGGAATGCGTCCACCATTTTTCGCTCACTGATTTCAACGGGAACACAGTAGCCCGAAAGAGATTTAAATCCAATCCATATTGTATACATTGCTTGTGGTCAGAACTGTTGCAACCGGAAAGCCTCGAACTAATCAAAAGGCAGAAAGAAAGATTCTTTAGCTAATCGTTTTCACTTATGGGTCCTGGTTTAGATTGATTGATTGAAAATGGCAACCTCAGTGCGCCCGATAAAAGGGTTAATCTTGACAAGTCCATTGCCTAATGGACCAAGGCCCGTGTATATGTTCTGTAGATATCAGTATCATGGTGGATGGGATTTTGTTTATGAACTCTGGTAATGGGAGTGTCAGTTGTTGTGATGCTGGCCCCTGATGCTTCTGCATCAAAGCTATGCTGTATACATGTTTAGAATTTTGATTCGTTTAATTAATCTTGTCATTTTCATATTTTTTTTACATGATATGAATTGTTAGGTTTACAAGTTACCCTTGCATTTTATTGATGGAATTTGATAAGGAGCTATCAGATATTGTAATCCTGGTCCTGTATGCTTATTCTGCATCAAAGTTTTGCTTCCATATGTGGACACTAGCTTGACGGGATTGGCAAGAATTAGGAGTGTGCAGCGGTCGGTCATTGCAACCGATCGCAATCGTCGGTAATGGTAATCGACGGTTGCAATAACAACCGTTGGTTGTTTCGATCAGTCTCGTCGGTCGATCGGCTCGGTCTTTGGGGAGGAAGGAGTCCCCCCTAACCGACCGAATAACCTGTGATTCTTTTTTTTTAGGGGGCAGAAAGACAAAACTTCCTTTCATTAACCCCCTAAAGGCTAAAGCAACCCTTACCCCTTATTTGCCCCTGACCTAATTCCCCTCTTCCCCTTTCCTACTTTCTGCCTCTCCCTGACTCCCTCTCTAACCCCTCAAAATTGAAATCAACTCATCCTAAAAAATCGACTGAATAGACTGAATCGAGATTCCTAAAAATCGATAAAAATCGACTTTACATTTTATGCGGTTTCATCGATTATAATATTAAAATTTTTTTATCAATTTTACCAAAAACCGAATCGAAATTGATCGAACCGAGCTATGCACACTCCTAGCAAGAATGCATATTTCAAGGAGGTTGAGATGAATCAGTTCCATCCATGTTTCTAAGCAAGGTTTTCAATGGGAAAGCCAGCCTGCTTTAACCTGTTTTGCATGGGCCGATTGAACATCCAGCCGAATTTGCTAAGTCCTAGGTGTTAGCCTGTTGAGATTTTCCAGACATCAAATGAGTCACAGTTCATGAAGCAAACAAAAGATCCAACCCAAATGACTGACATTAGGCCCAATGACAAACAAAGAAATAAAAAAATTGCATCCTAGATTTGTGTAACTGGTCAGGAATATTATACACTTCAATCTAAGTTTGATCTCCCTTCTGGGGGTGTGCATGTGCAAGGGAAGTGTGCTACTCTGGGATTCATTACAGCAGAAGATAATTCATACAAGCTTTGGAGGAAAAAAACCAAAAGCTTTAGACTGAAGTATTATGCATTGTCATTCTCGTGCATAATTACCACCAAAGCTACAATGAAGGCATAGTCCACCTCTGGATACACTTTTACCTTGAAACTTTCTTTGCCCTTGCAGCTCCCCCATGTGAAATTGTGGCTAACCTGTATATTCATATGACATTGGATCAAAGAAATTAAGAAAAAGGAAACAAAAGAAGAAATATCACATTGGTTTATATGTGTCCAACATTTTCAGGAATTCTAAAGAAATTCTGCTGCTAATGCAAAATCAAACACATCAGAAAGAGCTTGGTATACCTCTGCAATGATTGAATTGCCTCTCCGAACTTTGAAAGAAAGGGAAGCAAAACTTCCGGTCACACGAAAATCGCGGCCATCGTCCTTATAGCTGCTTGCTAAGCAAACATCAAGCTTGTTTTTGATCTGGAGAGCATTGGATCGTCGCACGCAGCAGAGAAAATGGTCCTTCTCCGAGCTTTCACCTTGATGAACTACCCATTGCTGTTTCCAGGATAATGCCTGCTGGATTTCCAGAAACTCCTATCACTATTACTATCCAGGATAATGGTTTCTTTCTGAGGGCAAAATGTTTGCATACCTTTTCGCGCATGGTGATGACAGGCAAACCAGAAGGATCCTTCATGACCCTTTTCCTCTGGAAGTTCCAGACACCGCCATCGACTTGAAGGAGAACGTTCCCGGTTGCATCAAACACATCGTAGTGTGCATTAGAAAACGATTGTATTTTCCTCTTGACAAGGAGCTCCATCGTGTAAGGGACACAGAATCGATCCCCGACAACCTTGATGATCTGATCATCACTTGCCATTCTGAAATCAAATATAGACTATTGATCGATGCTGATACACTCTTAAAAACCAGATCTCAGGTTCTTGGCCTTCTGCTTTATCAAGGAGACAAAAGAGACGCTTCAAAGAGGGACCCCCTTGGAGGCTGGCAGCCCTTTTTGCATTTCCTGGAAATGAAGCTCTTTGAATATGGGAAACGCGGCAACAGTGTCAAGACAGATTTTTACTTTATTTTAATACTAGCAAAAGGGCTCAAACTAGAAATCTTATCCTTTAAGTAATACTATAATTTAGTCCTTTTGGAAGAACAAGAAGATGCAAAGCAGATGGAAACAGAATTCCAGAAAGTATGAAAAAAGATGTCTAATATGCTAAACATCTGTACAAAGATATCTTTCAATACTTTTGACCTTAGAATTTAAAATCAATGAAAATGTCATCATCCAATAGACCCCATTAATTTGAAAATTGACAAATTGATAGCTCATAAAAATTATGTACAAACCAAAAAAGAGAGCTCCATCGAGCTGTTTTCTTTCATAACTTGACACCCTTTTAACATGGAAAACAAGGGGTTTGTCTTTTAATTGACAAAGCTGAAGGAGATGCAAACTAAAACAATGACATACCTTTAACAGAGAACAGGGTTTTCAAGGGTCAAACAGTACCATGAATGCAGGCTAATTTGACCTTCAATTGTTGAATAAAACTCAAGAAAAGGACAAAGATGGGGGGAAGGGGAGGATTGGGAGAAGTATTATTTTTGCACAAGAAACAAAATTTTGGTACCTGTTTTGTCATGAATTTTGAAGGACAAATTGTTCTTAATGGCAGCTAAAGATTCTAATTTTGAGTATCTAAAAATGATTGAATTTTTGTTTTTCCTAACTAACATTGCTTCTTTTTTGAGGAAGTTGTTCATTTAACTGATTTGTCATGATTTACACTAAATCCATACCATAAACAGATTAACCATTGTAACCTTAAACCCCAAATTTGCTTAACATCTAAAATTGCTTAGACCTAATGCTTTGAACCACTTGATCGCATTCATATGTTCATAACTTAAAATTGGAATGTCTTTTTTTGTAATTTAATATTGTAAAATAGAAAAATAAAGTAAAATATTGAAAAAAAAGGGTAATTTGCAAAAAATGAATAAATCTAATGCATTGGTACTTTCACTGTAAGATCTAAGGCCTATCCAAAAAGGTGACTGTGGCCATGGAAACAAGATAAAATAATAAGAAGCATCAAATAATCCAAACAAATGCACTAAAAAATGTGAACCCATTTCTCTGCCTTTTTCCTTTCTTAACTCATTAAAAAGAATTTTCAAAAATAGTTCTGAATTGAAAGAAGGAAAATAAAAGAGAACTCTGTGTCTGTTTTATGGGAAGATCAATTCTTTGTACGACCAAAGGTCAAGGCTTTGCGAAAGCGGTCCCATCAGACAAACTTCACAGGCCAAAACACGCAAAACCCACATCGAGAAACCGAGTGGCTTGCCAAGAAAACGCGAGTTCGCGTGGGGTACGAGTCGACTCGGAGCGAGTCAAGCAGAAGGAGATGGATAGCTGGGGTGACCGGGATCGAATTCCGCTGGCTCAGGTGGTTTCTGAGTTGGTAAAAGGATGGTTTCAAGACGCTCTCAAGGAGGCCAAGACTGGTGATACCAATATGCAAGTCCTTGTTGGACAGATGTATTGCAGTGGCTTTGGTGTTCCTAAAGATGTCCAAAAGGTACCCCTTTTTTGTGCTTCTTTTTTCCGCGTAAATTTTAATTATGGAATGAATTTTTTTATTGGTATTATAGATGCTTGAAAAACGGCTAATCTGATTCATATTTGCAGCTTTTCATGTTGGTATAATTCGTTTTGTTGGGACTTTTATTTGATTTTATTTCCGTTTGTGGTGTGGTTATAATCTTAAAGATGGTTTAAAAGGGGCTAATTTGATTCATTTTGGTGGATTTTCATGTTGGAATAATTTATCCTGTTTTCTGTACTTTCCGGGGACTCTTTAGTTTTATGGTGTGTTTATCATCAGAATCATTGCATGTTTTACTCATTTTGCTTTTCATTTAATTGTTGAGAAGAGTGGGGGTTTGGATCTAAGATCCCTTTCTCTTTTTGGGTATTTCCACTGCGGGAAAAGCTACTTCACTTAAAGGAATATTCTTTGAAATCTGAACTTTACAAGCCCCACATGTTGGTTTTATCTCTTGCACTTCTCTCCAAAGAATAGGTGCTTGATGTTTCAGAGCGTATTCCTGTGTTGGTGGATGATACCTGAGAGGTCTCCATCCTTTTTTCAATTATTTTTTTGAACCACACTGCAAGAGATTTCAGCTTAAATTTTTGGAAAATCAGTTGCAACACAATCTAATGGCCAAAAATATGGCAACCATTGTATGCTTGAAATACTGGTCACCCTTGAAATGACATCTCTTCAAGCGACATATTAATGTTCCTTCAACTCATAAACTACAGAATTTTTCAATAAGTTTACTATTGATACTAGAGAAACTCAGTGACTTTGCTACAATCTAAGTTAGGACAAACCCATTGCCCCTGTTGGGCGAATTGGGAGGATTTTAAATTTCAGTTCTTAATTTGCTACTAGATTGCTCTTGTTGCCAGTTATTGTTACTTTATTTCTTGGTTGTATCATGTATATTTGATACCCTTTGTGAACTTCAGAATCCTGACTGTATTAGTTAATCATTTCTTCGGAAATCAGGGGCGTGCTTGGATTGGTAAAGCTTCAAGGAGTCGTTCTTCAGTTTGGAAAGTTAGTGATAAGCATCCAGGTACAGACTCTCTCTCTCTTAGAGTAGGCTCATTAACTGCTTTCGGAATTGATCTTGGGTTTCCTTCAGGTTACAACGCAAGTGACTCAGACTCTGATGAATTGAAGGGTGATGCAAAATAAGGTCAAACCGGTATTCTTTTCAAAATTATCAACGAATATGCAAGTCGTTTCCAATCATTGGACAACTAACAAATTGTTAGTTATTTCTCTGTTTATTGTTACTTACCTCATTGATGGAATTATCAGCTATAAATATGATAGTTATCTTGATTTTGATCCCTGTTATGGATCCTTTAATTACCTCATCTTTGTGCCTCACTTGATTATTTTTAGGTTACTTTTGAGATTTCTGATTACAGGTCTAGCTCTTGTATTTGTGTAACTTGCATATGAAGTCCTGTGGCCTGCCTTTTGATGTGTTAAATTGGCCAGTGATCTTTGGTAATGACTAGTAAAGATCTTCCATTTTCTCCACAGAAATTTACTTTGATAATCTGAGCCATCTGACAATCTGAAATTTCAATTTCCATTAGAAAAAACCATTAATTCAAGAACTAATTACAGTATTGTAACATAAACCAGCTCTTACCTGAGTGACTGATCAATCTTTCCACGTCTCAAGTTGGTTTCAAATATGTTCAATTCCTTGTCAGCATGTTGGCAATTTTTTAAGACTTGTGAAAGCTTAGATAAGGCCTACAAAGGTCTTATTTACTTACAAGCACCCATGTTCCCATTAAAATTTTAGCACTTGCTTAGAAGGTTCCAACATCTTAAGCACGTCTGCTTACTAGCCTCTTTGTCTGACCATAACCGGATTTGGTTAGGAGAAAATGATATTGATTAGGGACCAAAAACGTTCAATTCTTTAACCATTGGAATGTTGAAGATGGCTCTAAAGAGGTTTTCTCAAGGGCTTGGGATGCAAGTCGTAGTAAACATAGGAGCAAGGGTGACTTATGGCAGAGGCTAAGACTGACCAAACCAGCCATTAAGGAATGGCAGTCCAGTAAATGGGGAAATTGTCAACAGAAAATTAAGGCGCTGAGAAAGGATACTCAGAGGAAAATGCATGAGTGGCAGAATTGTGCAGAGAATAGAGCAGTTAGATAAGAGATAATATAAATGAGAGCTAATCTTTGGACACTTTATAGAGCTGAGGAAAGATCATGGCACCAAAGTCGAGGGTGAAGCGGTTCCTTGAGGGGGATAGAAATACCATATTCTTTCATGTTGCTGCTTCTGGTACATTGATCGAATAACAATGAATATTTCTATGGTTGTTGAACCTATAGATATTAAGGAGAAGGTAGTTCGACACTTTGAGAAAGTAGTAGATCGGTGGCCAAGCTTAGATATTGGAATGTGGATATCACCTCTTTATCTGAGCATTGCGCACTGTTGTTAGAGGATTTGTGTTCAGAGGAAAAGGTGGAGGAAGCTATATTTAATTACGATGGAAACAAGGCTTCAAGGCCACACGGGTTTAACTTCAATTTTTTCAAATCATAGTGGTTGACGATTAACGGGGAGGTGATGGCTTTCTTGCAGAAATTCTATGAGACGGGTTCTTTGGATAATAAGATTAACTCTTCATTCGTTACCCTTATTCCCAAATGTAAGAATCCCACGGCTCTCAATGAATACAAACCCATTAGTTTGATAGGGATTGTTTATAAGGAGGTTACTAAAGTCTTGGACAATAGACTTAGATTGGTGATAGAAGAAGTGGTGGATCCAAGCCAATATGCTTTCATTAAAGGTAGGCAAGTCACGGATTGCGCACTCATTGTGGGCAATCTCCAAAAGAGTAGAGAGGGAGGCGTGTTTTTTAAAGTGGACTTTGAAAAGGCCTATGATGGTGTGGATTGGAATTTCCTTGAGTTTGTGATGAGGAAGACAGGGTTTCAAGAGAGGTGGAGGAAATGGATTATGTCATGAATCACTCCAATTGTTGTTTCAGTTTAGATGAATGGGTCACGCACTAAACAAGTTATATTGAGATATGGCTTAAAACAAGGTCGTTTTCTATCTCTGTTTCTTTTTAACATGGTAACAGAAGTTTTTAGTGCCCTCATGAATAAGGTAGTCGCTTAAGGAATGTGTAAAGGAGTTGAAGTGGGAAATAGTGATCCTATCAAATTTCATCTCCAATTTGTGGATGACACCATGATTTTTAGCAAATCGGTGTTTGATACTGTCCTTAATATGTAAAGGGTTTTGAAAAGTTTTCAAGTTATTTTCAGACTCAAAATTAATTTTCAAAAAAGTAGTTTATATGGGATCACAGTTGGGGATTTAGTGGAGACTTGGGCTACCAGAATTTCGTGCCTTGTTGGTTGTTTACCATCGACTTATTTAAGCCTCCCATTGGGGACTAGGCACCTCTTTAAAGGTATTTGGCGACCGATGATTGAAAGATTTGAAGCTAGACTTGTCGGTTGGAGTTCTAATCTGTTATTAGTAGGGGGAGGATTACTTTGATTAATTTTGTTCTTGCTAGCCTATCGATGTACTTCATGTCACTATTTGAGATGCTTAAAAGGGTCAAGGAGGAATTGCATAGGATCCAAAGGTGGTTCTTGTGGGGATGCTTGATGGAAAGGGGACATATTCATTGGGTGGATTGGGATACAGTTTGCAAACCTAGAGATTGTGGGGGACTTGGTTTAGTTGATATCTAGTTGAAGAATAAAGCTCCATTGAATAAATGGATTTGGAGGTATGGTGAGGAAAAAGAGAGTCTATGGAGATCAGTCATCATTGCAAAAAAAAAGAGAGATAATATAAGATTGATTCCATATGACTCGGGTGATAGACATCCATTTATCATTTAGAGAAATAATATTTGTTCACTAACCCCTTCAGGGAGTCTTTCTTCTTTTGTGTTTACAAGTATTGGCTACTTAGTTGAGAACGAGGCCTATGTACACTTTTGGGAGGACAAATGGATAAAAGGTCTCATCCTTAAAACTGCCTTCCTTGCATCTTCACTTTAGCCGTAAATAAAACCAACAAAGTTAGTGAGTTTGGATCTTAGGTAAATAATGAATGGCAATGGAGTGTGAAGCTTAGGCAAAGAGTCTTTGATTGGGAAACTGTGGCATGGGAGTAGTTTAATGGCTGCTTGAAAGATTTTTCTCTTGCTCATAACATTAACGACAAGTTGATATGGAAACATACTCCAAGTGGGCAGTACACCTCAAACTCCTTCTATGAAGTGGTGCTAAACAATGGTGCCCTTTGAAAAAATGTTTGAGCGGGGTTGACCCCCCCAAAGGTTGGGGTCCTTGTGTGGCAAATCATCAATGGTCGAGTGGTAGTTAAAGAGGAACTAGTTAAACAGAATCTTATGTGCAGGGAAGCTATCATATGTGTTTTAGGCAACCAAGAAATGAAGTCAGTTAACCACATTTTCGTTACTTGTATGGAGTCATAGAGGGTGTGGAGTAGGTCGTGTGGAGAATGGAGAATAATAGGCTGTATCCCCAAGGATATGAAGTCTTTTTTTATCGCATGGAACTGATATATTGTGGAAATGACTAAAGGAAAAGTGTGGAAAATGTCTTTCTTCACAATAGAAATGAAGTGGTCTTCGATGAGAAAATTTGGGATGCTACCAAAATTTTTGACATTATTAAAATGAGATTAGCTTGGTGGGTCAAATTCAAGTGGCCAAGAGAAAATGGATCTATTTCAAACATTAGCAATGCTCCACAAGTGGCCTGTGTGACAACTATAAATAAGACGATCAATAGTGCTATTTTATGGGAAAGTCCGCTTAAAGGATGGCTTAAATTCAACACAAATGGGGCTGCATAAGGCTGCTCAGGTCAACTAGGGATTGGAGGTGTGCTACGGAATGATTTAGGAAAAGTGAAGCTTATTTTTTCTTAGAAAGTAGGTTAGGATGATGCGAACCTTGCTGAAATTATAGTGATACAAGAGGCCATGATCATCTTCGCAGCTTCCTCTTGGGTTAACCTTGCTAGTATTTTTATTGAAAATGACTCCAGGAATACAGTTACTTAGGGATTGGAGGTGTGCTACGGAATGATTTGGGAAAGGTGAAACTTGTTTTCTCTTAGAAAGTAGGTTCGGGTGATGCGAACCTTGCTGAAATTATGGTGATACAAGAGGCCATGATCATCTTCGCAGCTTCCTCTTGGGTTAACCTTGCTAGTATTATTATTGAAAATGACTCTAGGAATACAATTACTTGGATAATCAAAACAAAGGCTACTTCATGGAGGTTGTGACATTTTATCTTCGAGATCTTATCCTTTAAAACCAAAGTGGGTGATTGGTAGATTTGACATATTGCAAGGGTAAGTAACGAGTTGGTGAATAACCTTGCTAAATTGAGAGTTGATAGAATCAATGACTTGTTTCAATTTTCTTCCTAATCAGTGGTTAGTTGTGTTAGGGGGCTTGTAACACCATGGCCAATGGGCTCAATACTACGAGTAGCATAATGCATATGGAGAGGATCCTGAATGCAAGGATTTAGAGGAAAAAGAAACAAGCAAATGGTACTATTTCTTTTTCTTGCTTGTTTTGGTTGGAATCGTTTGAGAGGCATTGGATGTATAACTGTGAATGTATAGGATTGAGTTGTGAACGTGTATAGTTTTTAGTTTTTGCTATTGACTATATTTTTGTAAGCCAGCTTGATTACAGAGTACGAAGATTGATATAGTCACATTACTTTATTTTTTTGTAAAAGGTTTACCTTGTTCTGATTATGAAATAATCTTAATTTTTTTATAAAAAAAGTAGCCACTTATTTATAAACTCAGGATTTTAAATTCATATTTAAAATCTTCTTTCTATTTAATGACCATTTGGTGTAATTACTTTGGTAATTTTAACAGACTTTTTTATATTATGTTAATATAATCGAGGCAATGCTTAATGCATCATATTGATATTTTGACAAGTAGTGTTGAGCTTGTAAAACCATTTAGGTGTCATGCTGATATTTGCCATGTGTTCTAATATACTGAATACAATGAAGGTGAAAGTAGTTATTAGTTGAACAATGGCGCTTTAGATTTTGATTTCTTTATAAGTTTAAGACTTGCAATGTAAATGTAATCGCAACTTAATTAAGTTGCAGTAAAATATATTTCGAAAAATGTTTTCAAAATTTATGCTTGTTTGGAAGTCGAAAAATTAATTTAAAATGTAAAACATTTTACAAGTCAATACGGTTAATTACAAAAAATGTCTTACGCCCTTCAACATTTTTCAGAAAACAATAAAAACACTTTTATACTAAGTTTATAAGTATAAGTTTGATGAATATTAATATTTAACTTTAAATATTAAAAAATAAAAATATTTAATATATAACTTTAAAATAATTAATTTTAAATATTAAATTATACAACACTATTAAAATGGAAAAAAAATATTTTAATGAAACCATTCAATGCAATTAAATTTTTTATTTATGAATGAAATAAATTTTACAAATAATTATGATTAAAAATATTTCAATAATGTTCATTTGGTGAATACATATATATAATAGGTTTAAATCTTACTAAAAATTATAATAAAAAATATTTCAATGATCGTCATTTAATGAATACATATTTATAAGTATATGTTTTGGATATCTTACACAATTGATGAATATTTATAGTTTTATAGTTATGATAAAAGAGTGATAAGATGAATTTTTTTTTGAAAATTAGAGTTTATTTTCATCACAGATATGTGGTTAAATGTTTTGAGAAATATCATTATTGATTTTATCTATTTTCATTTCCATTCTTAATTTTGATCCAAAATTAGTGAAAATCAAATATTAATATTGTTTTGTAATCAACTCCTATTTATTATTTTAACACTTAAGTAATTCCACCATGATGAAAAATATTTTTCATAAAATAATCCAAACAACAAAAAAACATTAAATTTTCCTATAAAATATTTTTCACAAAAAAATTTGTCCCTAACAAATCAATTTTCGATTATCAAACGTACAGTAAGTTTATTTATTTTATCAAGACAATGTCATCTGCCTTCTCGTTTGTCCTTTCTCCATTCCCATGGTTTCTCAGGATTTGATGAAGCCCACAAACCAATTCGTTTCGCTCGAGCCTCTTTTTCCCACTATTATTAAACAGGTAAACCGTATTAGAATTGCCAGTTTGAAGTTTTAACAGAAAGAATTGTAAGAGCTATTGATTATTACTCACAGTTGCAAGTTCTATGCGTTGGTCGTAGGCTGAGTAATGCCATGCAAGTCCTTTTTTCAGCATTATTTCCTGTTTGACAGAGAGATTAGAGAAACTAGTTGGTTCTTATGAGGTTAAGCCAGGAGATGAATACTCCATGAACTAATACCTGTACAAATTTGCCATTACAGTATATATCACCAACACAACGGCCATAACGATCTTCTCCATAAACAAGAACTCGTAAACATTTCCCTTGAACAAGTTTAATCAACTCTTCTTTTGCTTCTTTGCCATAAGGCATTGAACTCTCCGGCGCATCTATACCCCTATATACATCCAGAATCAATTACAATCATTATCCACAGTCATCATAGACGAGATTTGGCTGATGAAACCTTCAAACTCAAGAAACAAATAATGTTACCTTAGCCTGACGCGATACTTTCGAGCAAGGATCTCCTGATTCTGAAGATTCAAGACCCTGGTGTAAGAATCTGGACTATTAGAAACCATTGGTCTTAGTAGAAGACTTCAACAAAAAGAAATTGATCAGGAGATTTAGATAGCCAAACCTGTATCCTGCATCAGTAATCTTCTTGTGAAGTGCATCTGCTTTTGTATAATTCTTCTCAGCTCGTGCTTCTGATCTTTGAACTGCTGCCAATTGCACATCTCTAGGTACATTTGATGACTCCCTCGGATCTGAAGTACTTACATACACTGTAAGGGTATCTCCATCTGGTATTGCTTTCACATCCACCTAATTTAATCAGAGTATTTTTTCAGTTTCAAATTCTCTATCCAAGTTACTTCATTGAATGATAATTTGAAGTTTCAAGAAAGACAATCCTTACAGGTAGAGTCTGCAATTCAAACTTGACTCCCTCGGGCAACGATGTTGGGGCGCTAGCAGGTGGCTGGACAAGCGCATGAGGAAGAGGAAGACCATAGAATGCCAATAATCCCTACAAACATTCAAATAAAGAACAATCCCACCATGCATTAATTTCCTGTTCTCTCTTATGCTAAGCAATTTGTAGCAATCTCAATATGTTTTAAGATTAATGCTGCTGCCTCTTATTACCTCAACATCTGCCTTTTGATGTCTCTTCAAGGTCTGAATGACAAACCTTGAAGCCTCCTCAGGTGTTTTTGGTGGGGGTTTAGCTTCTCTCCAAGCCTCGAGTAACTTTCTATACCTTCATTAGTTGTCAAACTTCAGACAGACCAGAAAAATCAAGCAAAGAAAGTATATATATGCAAATTAACTGAATACGGTATCTGCTCATAATCACATCATCATTGTTCATAGTTGAGGAAATTAATTAAATTACCAGTTAGCCTGAGCCTTCTTGGATGAAACAACATGCTTACTTAGCCCTTCAGGAACCTAAAACAAGTTGGCAATTCAATTAAAACAAACCCAGATTTTTTTTGAAGCTCAAATAGCCTAATAATATACTCGAAACTAATTGTATCTCATCAAAATTTGCTGTAAGCTAACAGAAGAAGGTAAACAAAACGTAACATAACAGAATTAGAGCAACCGGGCTTGAATTACAGCAGCAATGTTCATGAAACAAACCTGGGAGGTGATTTCAAACTGAAAGATATCATGGGCAAGAGCTGAAACCCCAACGTTGGCTGTCGAGACACCCTGGGGGCCATGTGATCCTGCGTCTCCACCGGTGGTTGGCTTGCAGCAATAGCTGAACAGGAACCTCAGTGCATTCCCCATGTCTCCAAAATCCTCTCAAATCTAAAAATTTCGTTTGAAGGGTAGCAGAGATTTAAACCGAAGGAGGAAAACTAAAGCTCAAACAAGAAAGGGAAAAAAGTAGCAGGCAAGGGAGCAACGGATAGCTTTGAAGGGAAGATAAACAAAGAATAAGATTACGGAGAAACACGTGGTGAGTTCTGGTTGGTGGGAAATGATTAAATGCGTGTCTTTTTACGATGAAGATCTATGAATTGTGCGCGGTTAAACTTGAAGTCAACGGTTTTTTCCTGTTTCTGCCGTATGCTGTAAGAATACTATAGGCCGTTGCTTGGAGGTATGCCCGGAGTGGGATCGTGGGCCGGTTTTGCTAATGTTTATTTAATTGAAAAGTTTGAACCAGGTTAAGCCTCATCATCAATCTCATACAATCCTAGCTTCCTTCCCTAAAGCTGGAACCACGTGGCTCGAAGCTCTTGTTGCCTCCATCCCTTACTCTAGAGATCGAAACTGTTGGCAAAATCCTTCTCCAGAGGGTCTTCAATACTAACCTTTCGTTACTCATTCCTGCCTGATCACATCAGGACCTCTGGCTGCAGCATTTGTTTACACCTCTCGCCATCCTGCTGACACTTTTGGCACCTCCATGCCAAGAAGTTTGGCACAGATATCACCGTAGAAGAAGCCTTTTCGATGAATTCTGTGAGGAGAGTTTGTGCCTTCAGGTCCATACTTGTCTACCTTTCGGTTCTTAATCATTTGTATGATGCAGCCTAGTACAAAGTTATTGGAATATTAATATATGTGAATAAATTAATAATCACTCATGTATATATTGTCCTAGATAAGTGTTGATCTTTTCATTTTTTTTTATTATTACTTTACTCGATATTAGAATTTATGAGACGAAGGAAAATTACATGTTAAATTCAATAGATTTTCATGTAAAAAAACACTAATATTCTATAAGAATATTAGATGTTTAAAAAGCTATGTATTGTTAATCTATGTATTCTTAAAGCTAAACATGGTTAGGTTCAGGTCATACCACAAAGACAAAGAGAAGATAATTTAAGGCCCCCTCTTCCCCAAAAGTCTAAAGGGCATATTGTTCTTTAATGGAACAAACGGTTCACATTTGAGGATTCAATTTTTGCACTTGTATATGGGGTACAACTGTGTAACACCCTTTAATACAAGTAAAAAGCTTTCCTTAAAACTAAAGACTCTGTTAACATACCTATTAAAATATTAATCTAATAAAATATATGGTTACCATTTTGCTACAAACAACGATAATTTAAATGAAAAAAAATTCTTAAATGTCGAAAATTAACAAGAAAAAAGGGAAAAATCAATGGCTTTTCCCTCCATTTCGTGGCTTATCACTCAGAAGTCAACAACTTGTTGGGAATAAAGGCAGCCTTTTTTAACAAAAGCAAACAAAATTCCCCATCAATCACGCAAGGAATCCCATTCCTTTCTTAGCATTGTGTGTAAATATATATTGATAAGCTCTAAGGCACCCCTTTGCCACCAAACATAAAGTCTCTTGCTTTCTTCCTCCTCCCCTCTTTATCTTTATTTTCATTTGCTGCCTAATTCATTTAACAGCCAATGGCCAATGTAAGTAACTCTTTTTACAGCAATTTTCCGTAGTAGTAATGGGTTTTCTTTCTTTTTTCTGTTCTATTTTCTCTTCTGGGACTATATTCAGGTTTTGATTCTGCAATAGGTAGTGGAGCTGAAAGTGGGTTTGCACTGTGAGGAATGCATCAAGAAAATCTTGAAGGCCATCAAGAAGATAGAGGGTAATCAATATCTGAAACAACACTTCCTTTCTTCTTCTTTCTTCTTCGATTTGAATCTTAAGATTATAAGCTTGGGACATTTATTTATGGGGTGGCAGATATTGAAACATACAACGTGGATACAAAGCTGAACAAGGTTGTGGTGACGGGTAATGTCACCAGGGATGAAGTCATCAGAGTTCTTCAAAAGATAGGCAAACAAGCAAGCACTTGGGGCAGTGCTGATGATTGATCAATTCACCCTGGCAGCCATGGATGATCACCAAGAAGACCTGAGAATGTACTTGTTGCTGTAGTGTAGAGCAATTTTGATCTTTTTCACTACTTTTTCTACTGCAACATTTAGAATAAGCAAATCATATAGAATAAAAATATAAATATGAAAATAATTTTAATATATTTTAAAAGGCAATGATCTAAGGGAGGTTCATTTCATTTATTTCCCAAAGTGGAAAGTTACTACAACAAGTTACAAACTAACTACGATCTAAAAGGAGAGATCTCTGTACACGAAATACTACAAATTGAGATAAATAAAGAAAAAAACTAACAGCAGTTACAACTTAGAAGTGACCCTTGTCTTGTCGGCCGGAGAAACCTCCCAATCTGAAACCTTCAGAATGACTTCGATCTGATCTACCTGGGTTGGTTAATCGTCCTTGGACTTACTTTCACATTCACAATCTTGGGCGCTTTCTCAAGAAACCTTGGCGACTCAGCCGCCACTCGGCCCTTCCGCCACTTCAACAGCCCCATGGGTACCAATTCCTTGTCACCATCTCCCTCCTTTTCCTCCGCTGTAAAAAGAAAAAGAAAAAAAGAAGTGTCAGATCCGAGTTATATTAATTGACTCGGCGGGGGTTAATAAGTCACTTACGTCTGGAATCCGTGGAAAAGTCGTCATATTCGTCGAAGATGGCATCGAGGTCGTCGGGGAAGAAGAGAAGGTCATCGTCATTTTGGGGATCGTGGAAGCGTTCACGGAGCCAGTAGTCGCGGAAACAAGGGGAGGATTGGACGAGTGCCCACCATTGATCGGAGAAATCCTCGACCGTACGATACGCCAGCGGGACGAACAACGGGGCGTTGGGATTCAATGTTGTGGACGATGATCGCTGAGAAAAAACCTCCATTTTCGCCACTCGAAGCTTTGTCGGGAAAAAGAAGCAGAAAAGCAGAGAGCTTTAAAAAAGACTTCTGATGGATAAGGATAAGATCGATACAGATTACATCCATTGTTTATATAGTGGATAAGCTTAATAAAAGGACATGCATTTCTCTATTATTACATCCATGACACTACTTTCTTTTTCCATTATTATAATTAGTGTAAATTATTATAAAAAAAACTTTTATTTGTGAAACTTAAATTTTTTATCCATAATTTTTAGATTTTATCAACGAAATTAAAGGCTTGAAAACTATATTTTTTAATAATTAATAAATTAATTAGTGGACTCTAGGGAGGGTAATATCTGGGAATTGAGAAGGGCAATGCTGGAATTAACCACGATCACAACATAATTTCATAACGTGTGAAGTTGGGTGAGTGAGCCCAAACTTCTTAGCCTTTGCTGCAGCTTTCGAAAGAGAAACCAACGGCTATGGTCGGTGTAATGGAAAATTCTGAACCCGGCAGCAGCAGAATCTGCGCATGGTTTTTCCTTTCTGTCTACACTACCAATTTCCTTCCAAGCTTGAACAGAAACACGGCAAGTTCCACGTGCCGATGATGCTATCTGTGGCATTCATATAAGTTGTCTTGAAACACACACATGTTGCTACTGTCCTGTAAGAGACAGGCCACGTAGTTGTTCTCATCCTTTATCACCTAGTAATTAGCAAAACAAATTTAATATGAAATAAAAGCTGTTTTTTTTTTCTTTTGTTGCCACCTTGGGGTTCCAAGTTTTGAAGAGTTGGTCAATGCATAACGAGAAATCAAAGAGGGTTGCTCTCCGTATTGTCCGTTGTCCTCCAGGGGCTTCAATTCTTTTACATTCTGGGTTTTTGTCCATATCCACCCTCATTTTCGTTGTTCATGGTATATAAGCATACAAGGATATATCATCAAGGGTGTTGGAAGCCATGGAGGCAGCAAATTCATCTTTTCCCAAAGATTTGGAGCCTGGTTACAGGGTCGATGGATCATGTTGGAGATTCATTCGGGTTGTTTCAGATGGATTATTTAGCGAACCCGGTGAGCATATGTTCAGACATACCTTGGTTGTTTTACAATTGCAATTAGCGATCATTTTCATCCTCGCCACCATCATACACCTCCTCCTCAGACGCTTCCATTTGCCTCGTCTCTTATCCGAAGTGCTGGTACGTTTTTGCTTTGTTGTATCCCTTGATGGATCATGGTGTTGTTACAAAATTTTATATTCATCTATCAGAAGTGTTGACTAAATTGTTCTTTCTTTAAGTTCATTAAGGTGCATTGCTGGGTAGTTATATCACTAATCAATTGAAGGATGTTTAAATTGATCTTGTGCAAATGCCAGGCAGGTCTGATTCTTGGACCAACTGTACTTGGACGGTTCTTTCCTAAAATATCAGACATTTTGTTCTCCCAGCAATCCCTGAAAATCCTGTCTGAATTGACACGGTTCGGGTACTTGTTTTTTATGTTTTTGATCGGGGTGAAGATGGATGTGAGTCTGATCACAAAATCAGGAAAAAGGGAATGGACCATAGGCTCTATAGTCATTCTATTCCCCATGCTAACCATTGTTCTCGTTGCCCAATACATAGGCAGAACGGTGGACAACATGGATATATACAACCTGGAATGGGTTGGACTCTTCTCAGGAACACTAATGCTAACCTCATTTCCAGTGGTGGCCTGCTTTTTAATGCATCTCAAGATCATTAACTCCGAGCTGGGATACCTTGCTTTGTCTTCAGCATTGATTAGTGACTTGACAAGTGTAGTAATAATAAATTTGAACAGCTATTGGCAGCTAGTTGAATTGGCATCGATCCGTGTAGCGTTGAAGTCGATGTTTCTTTGTATCGCTCTTGTTGTGTTTATCATAGCAGTTCTGCGTCCAATGATGTACTGGATCATCAGAAGAACTCCTGAAGGAAAGCCAGTCAGAGATGCTTACGTTTTCCTTCTTGTGATAGCACTACTGCTTGTAGCAATAGTCGGTGATAATGTTGGACTTCAGTACATGTACGGGCCTTTTATACTAGGCTTGGCAGTGCCAACAGGACCTCCCTTGGCATCCATTCTGATAGAAAAATTGGACACCATAGTCACAGGCTGGATGCTGCCGCTTATGTCAACTTATTGTGGATACAAATCAAATCTCTGGGAATTGAACAGGCCTCTACCTGCTTCTGAAATTTTTGTAATTACTGTAGGTTTCTTGCTGAAAACAACCTGTGGGTTTATTCCTGCAATTTGTTTCAAAATGCCTTTTAAGGATGCTACTGCACTTGCTCTGATGTTGACTGCCAAAGGCATTGTTGAATTAGGCACGTTTGCAACCAATGCTGACAAGCAGGTATTCAGAATCCCTTCAAGGCACTGCTTATAACTTGTTTGTTCTTTTGGTCAGAAGACAAGACTACTAAATCTCTCTCTCTCTTTCTTTCAGTCCATTGTTACTCAACAGTTCACCTTGGCTGTAGTAGTTGTATTCATTTTAGCAGCAGCCGTGCCAATTCTTACCCGAAAGCTTTATGACCCATCAAAGACATATACAGGTTACCAGAAAAGAACCATTTTGAACTCTTCTACACATGAGGGTCTTCGAGTGCTGGTTTGTGCACATAGGCAAGATGATGCATTGTCAGCGATCAAGCTACTTGAACTTTCAAATCCTACTAAAGAAAGTCCCTTGTCTGTTTACGGGCTTTACTTAGAAGCACTTATCGGTGGATCCACTCCCCTTCTCCTTAATCACCAATTAGGCCAGAAGAGTTCTTCTGATGGATCTCGCTGGCAGCCCGTTATTGATGTTTTCAATTACTTCAAGTCGCAAAGTAAGAAACAAAACCAAGTCCATGTCTTCACAGCAATATCACCTCCCAAATTAATGCATGAAGACATTTGTTGGGTTGCCTTTGACAATTCAGTAGCACTAATAATACTTCCATTTCATAGGAAGTGGAATAGCAAAGGGACGATGATTTCCGACAGCAAAGTTTTGAGGGCCTTGAATTGTAAAGTTTTGAACAAGGCCCCTTGTTCTGTAGGAGTTCTAATTGACCGCAGCAGAACTCGTGGTCCATCAATCTTAACAAAATCATCCGCATATCATGTATGTGTGATTTACCTGGGAGGCAAGGATGATCGAGAAGCGCTAGCTCTTGCACAAAGGATGAGGGGATGGCCTTCTGTTTTCCTAACTGTTGTAAGGTTCATTGCATCAAATGATTGTTACCAACAAGGATGGGAGATGATGCTTGATAATGAATGTTTGAGAGACGTAAAGCACCAAAGTAAAAATAACGGTAATGTATCGTATAAGGAGGAGATGGTTACAGATGGTGCGGATACATCTTGGCTGGTTGGATCACTATTGGAGGAAAACTATGATCTTTTCTTGGTTGGGCGACACTCAAGAACTAACTCACCAGTCATATCAGGTCTATCAGAATGGATTGAGTTGCCAGAGCTAGGGCCAATTGGAGACCTACTAGCTTCTTCAGAAGTCACTAATCCAATTTCTGCCGTTGTGGTTCAACATCAGATCATTGAGGGTGAGTGTGAAAGTACTCTCACAGGTTTTTAAATTGAAGGGCTGCATTCTTTCGGGTAAGAAAATTGCATTTACTAAATATTTTGGATGCTTTTTACTCTGAATGTTTCACTTCTCCCCTGCTAGATAAATAACTTTTTTTTTGCTTACAGATCCTAATGCATCCTCCATTGATCCCTGTTACGAAGAAAGAAGAAGATAAATGTGCAACTCCTGATATAACTTCCGCAAGTAAGCAGACAAGGATTCTGATTGCAACATTAGCATCATCATGCAGAGATTGCTTTATGGGACTGAAAAAAATGAATTTCCCATGCACTCTGCATGTTCCATAAACCGCAAATCAGAAATCAGAAATCAGAAAGATCGTTTATGTCCATCAATTGACCAATTGGTCCATTAGGAAACTGTTCTTAGGGGAAGACCTGTTACAATTGTACTCAGGCAGATCAGGCAGGACGCTGGGACATCCTTGCTCTTGTTTCCTTCTTGCTTGGTTCTCTTAATCAGATAATCAAGCCTAGACTGCTTCTAAATTATATACACCATAGATTCAAAAGTACTTCTAATTTTCTGTATCATCATATTTGCCCTTTTTGTTGGCTTGCTTTCTAACAGGCTATAAATTTCCCAACCATTAAAGAAAATGATGTATTTTGATCTATATCTGCTTTGGAACCAATCTCTAGTCATGGTTTGAGTGATAAAGAATACCGTCTTGCTCTTTTTAGTCTTTTGAACCTTTCCCCTCGATATCCGCACCCTTTTATCTGAATTCATGGATTTGCCATGTTAAGCTTGGAGTTGTACAGGATATGCTCATCCAAGCTTGATAATGTGTTGTTCAAACTATAGCTCTTTGAACCTAAAGAACTCCTGCCTAAGGTCAAGAAGAAACCATTTTTCTTCAAAGGAAAAAAACAAATGAGGATAAAAGGAGATGGAAGAATAAAATCCAGACATATAATTTATATATAAGAGTAAGAATTGAATGAGAATAACTGATAGGATAAATTTTACTTAGATGGTTGGCTGCAGAACACATGCATGGTGAAATAGCTGATATTATGCTTTCTGTCTTATCGGCATGGCACCTACTTAATCTATAAGGTCTGAAATTCGGAAGAAAATGAAATTGCTTTAAAGAATTCTTTATGTGGTCTAGTTATTATACTTCAACAAGAATTAAGAAAAAAATAATGCATTAATTAATCACAAAATTCTTTATAAAATCTAAACCTGTGCTTGTAAGCACCCTACTAGCATTTTCCATTTGCTAAAAAAGGAAGTTTGGAGAGAGAGAGAGAGTCGGGGAGAAAGAGGTGAATCGAAAGGCTTACTTTTCACTTATATTTGCAAAGAATTATGTAAGCAAATAGAAAGTCTTGAGATATTGTCAGAAACATGAGATTGGTGATAGATTACGTTTACTTTTAACTACCTTGCATGAAGGAGAACCTCCAACTATTGTGGAATCCAAAATATGAGGTTGACCCCTCATTCTTTCTCTCTCTCTCTCTCTCTTCTATCTCTCCCCGACCTACTCTTACCTTTGCTTGTTGCTTCATGCTATCCATTGTCCTTTTTCATTTTGTTTTGGGGTTGCTTTGTTTTTTTTAATTGATTTCTTGATCAAGAAGCAATTGCTTTAACAGGCAATAACCATGGCATCCGAGTTGCAACAAGATTCAGTCATAGCTGGAGGAAACAAGACTATTCTTTGTATCGATACCTCCAAAATCAACATTGAATCGAGGAGTATCTGGCTACATGGTAGCCCTCTCAACAGCGCTACGTCTCTACTCTTGTTTCAGCTCTCTGGCATTTCCACAGTCTCACTGCTAATCGATGTTTGCCTCAGGCCTTTAGGGCAATCAACCTTAGTTTCACAGATTTTTGTATGTTTTATAATCCTTTCTGATTCTCATCTTCATTTTCAATCAATAACATTGGATCATAATCATGGAACATTAAAAGAATAATCACCTTTAAAATCAATAACAGGGTGGAATGATATTTGGCCCGTCCTTTCTTGGCTACAACAGAGATGTAAGAGAGATCCTTTTCCCGATGAGAAGCACCATGATAATGAGCACATTTGCAGGATTTGGCATAATGTTCTACCTCTTCGTAACCGGAGTAAAGATGGACCCTGTCCTCATGGTGCGGCCAGGACGAAAGGCTGCAGTCATAGGTGCTGCAAGTCTCTTTGTTACGCTGGTTTTTTCCGTTGCCCTTGCTTTGGTCTTGAAGAATTTTATCACTCTGAGCTCCAACCTCCAGAACTCGATAATGCTCATAGCATCATCACAGGCTTTAACAGGTTTTCCTGGAATTGCTACCCTGCTGGATGAACTCAAGATTCTCAACACTGATCTTGGCCGGCTAGCCGTCACTTCGGCAATGTTTTGCGATTTAATTGGCATGTCTATGGTTGGAATTATTTTCTCATTGCAACAAAGTACCTCCAGCGATATCTTTGGTTGTGTTCCACCAATATTGTCTATAGTTGCATTAGTTGTCTCCATATTTGTTATTCTTAGACCAAGATTAGTAAAGATGTATTACCAAACACTGGAAACAAAATCTGTTGATGAGAACAGCATAGGATTCATTTTCCTTTTAGTCATGGTAGCTGCATTTCTGAGTGAGGTGATTGGCCAGCATTACATCATCGGACCATTAATTTTAGGTCTGGCTGTGCCTGATGGACCGCCCTTGGGATCAGCTATATCATCAAGGCTAGATACTCTTTCGAAAGCATTTCTCTATCCTGCTTACAGCGCACTCAGCGGGATGCAAACCGACATCTTTGCCATCGACTTTCAATCTTTTTATGTTGTGGGGATCATCGTTGCCTTTGCTTTCGTGATCAAGCTAATAGCAGTGATGCTGTCGGCTCTCTTTTTCGGTCTGTCCCTCAGAGAAGCTTTTGTGCTTGGACTCATTCTAAATGCAAGGGGCATTGTTGAACTCACTTCGTACAACCTCTGGAAGGAGAGCGAGGTTAGTTTTTTTTTTATTTTCCTGATTTATATATATATATATATATGTAAAAATTACAGCTAGAAGCAAGAGAACGTGAGAAAAAACAATAGAGCATTGCTGATGTCAAGACATGATACAATTAACGCCAAGCTGAGAATAAAGAATCTCTGTTAACTCCACATTTGGCTAGTTTTATTAGTCTTTTGGTGCTTTCTTTCCAGGATTTGCAGGACTAACCAATGGCATAATGACTTGTAACAATTGCTTTAAAACCAATTTCTGAGAATTCAAAGTTTTGGACCAGTTTTCTGGCCTAGTCTGCAACATTTTAAGCATGCAGCTCCTTTTCAGGATTTCTCTCTTTTTCCAAATTGGATTGATTAAAGCTGATAAAATATGTGTGCTAGTTTAGAGATGAGAAGAACCACGTTTTGAAAACCATAGTTTTTGTTTAGAGGTGAAAGCTTTTGGGGTCAAAATTGTTTCTAGCCTCAGTAAGTTAATTTAACTATTGCATTTCTATTACTTATGTTTTGTGTCTAAATTTTCTGAATTTTTGCTGAAGCTGTTTTCCAATTGCAGCTGATCGAGGACAAAGAATTTGCCTTAGTCATGATGTCATTGGTGATCGTGACGGTAGTCATAACCCCAATGATAAGAAAGTTGTATGATCCTTCAAAGCAATACGCTTCCGTAAAGAGAAGTACCATCCATCATGCGAAGCGTGATTCAGAGTTTCGAATCGTGGTTTGCCTCCACAGCCATGAAAGTGTCCCGACAATTATGAACCTTCTTGAAGTATCCCATGCCAGCAGAGAGAGTCCCGTTGCCGTCACAGCTATGGTCCTTGTTGAACTCGTGGGGAGATCCATCCCTATCCTTCTACCAAACCATAGCCGAAGGTTGGTACCAACAAACTCATCCACAGCAGGCCGAGTATGCAATGCCTTTAGTCAGTACGAGGAGGACAATCAAGGCTGCGCCAGCGTTCAATCATACACCTCAATCTCACACTTTCAGACAATGCACGATGACATCTGTCGTATAGCGTTTGAGAAGCGTGCCCACATTGTCATCGTGCCTTTTCACAAGCAATGGGCTATAGATGGCAAGATTGGGTCCATGAGCCGTCCCATACAAAACCTGAACATTAATGTCCTGGAAAAGGCGCCATGTTCAGTTGGAATCCTTATTGACAGGGGAGTCTTAAATGGATTCGTTTCAGTTCGAACTTCATCAAAATTCCAGGTCGCTGTTCTCTTCATTGGTGGCCCTGATGACATGGAGTCACTAGCTTATGGCTGTCGAATGGTGAAACATGAAAGTGTTAATCTAACTGTCATTCGTTTCCTTCTCTTTGGAGGCGAAAACTCCAAAGACAGGAAGAATGACAGCCAACTGATCAATGAACATCGCCAAGATAACATGGGAAATGAACGTTTCTTGTATGTAGAAGAGGTGTTAAGGGATGGGGAAGGGCTATCTTCATATATCCGTGGAGCCATAGCACATTTTCATTTGATCTTAGTAGGGAGATACCATCCGCAATCACCACTTCTCGAAGGACTTGGGGAGTGGAGCGAGTGCCCGGAGCTTGGGATTGTCGGTGATATGCTTGCTTCACCAGATTATAAAACCACCACGACGGTGTTAGTGATTCAACAACAAAGACTAGGAGGTAAGTTGTTCAACCATAATCTGCCATTTGTGGTGCGGAACAGGGATTCATCAGTTGTCCCTGATGATTTGCCAAAGAAATTGCTTCATCATGGCCCCGGGGATGATTCATTTTCCATATCATTAGACGACTTTGATACGTATTAGATAGGTTTTTTTACATGAAAAACATATGACTGGTTCTTTCCTCCCCTTGTCCTGATGTAGGGCACTTTGGTTGGAAACCAACTTCAAGCGATAGCTAAGTAGGACAGTTTAGCATTTCATATATTCTTCAAGTTGACTGATAGCTTATTGAAAAATGTTCAACTAAATGCAATGTAACACTGAAATAAAATGTTCATTTTGACCAACTGTAAATTGAAAGGCGAGATTCATTAAATTCAATGAAATTTTAGTGCCTGGAAACAAATACAGTTTGATTGAATGAAGCGGGGGAATTAATGATGTAAGCGCTGACTTGGGGAGGGGTGAGAAGCAGATACTTTTTGGTTTCAGACAAATGGATGTTGAAAACAGGCATGAGTCATGGTGTTTGATGTTACAGCTTTTTGTACATGATCCCATGAGTACAAAGGATGTTGCTATCAACCAGACAATTCCTTGGCATTAAGTCTACAAGGATTTAAGGCATTCCCATGTCTTCAAGTTTGACAAAAGAAACAATAATTTCTGCTTAAACCATTTCTTGGGCAAACAAGAGCCAACTAGCTAGCTTTAGTAAACACATTTAATGATTGTATCAAAAACCCTTTTCTCTTCTTTTTCTTTCTTTTTTGTTGGTTTTGGAAGCTTTAGTAAACACTTTCAATGATTGTATCAAAAACCCGTTTCTCTTCTCTTTCTTTCTTTATTGTTGGTTTTGGAAGCCATTGAAACTAGCCTATGTATGTTTCTTGGTTAGCTAATTACCTTGAATCCATCTCTCAAATTAATACTAATGATGTTTTAGCACATAGAAATTAATTTCTGCATGCATGTCATGTTTAATGGCTTGAACATGCATAAAATGGAATGGTTTTCAATTGCAAAAAGTCAAAAGAAAACAATTTTCCCATATTCAAAACTTAAATCTAATGTGATGAAGTCACATTTTGCATGATATATACCTTTAATTCTATTTACTTATAATACTATTACTCCTTTTTTTCCCCCTCAATGGGTTTATTAGATATGACCCAAAGAAGCAACTAGGAAGAATGAATTTCCATTTTAAGACTTCCACCTCACCCATACAAGAGCTTTAAGTTTTCCTTTTTGGGCAATCCCAAAGCAGAGTTTGATTTCCATGGGTGATTTGGCAGTGATGATGGGGTTCCCAAATATTTGAGTTTCCCCACAACAAAAGTTGTTAGCTTTCAAGATTCTTCCTGGGAGATGCTGTTGCTGTCGAAGTTCACTTTTGAAGGACAAAGTGTCCTACGACACTTATCCCTTAACCCTTTTCAGCTACTTCCCTTTACCTTCCCCTGATCGGGCATATCCTTATGAACTCAATGAAACTTCTACCCAACTTTCCCTTTTCCCATGATGTCTTTCCTCCCAAAATTCTATATGTAGAGAAATAGTATCCTAAAATATTCTCTTCAGGGTTTCAACCGCGTAAATTTCTTATCAAACTAATCGTCCTGAAAAGTCAAGTCACCGTCAAAGCCACCGCGTTCAGATTTGCAGACACCCACACGCTTCCTTAACTCGCTGACTCTCCTCCACTTTTCCTTCTTTGATTCTGTTTATAAAGGACTAATTGCAATACCCTTTACTTCCCATCTCCAAATTTGAAACCATTATCATAAGCTTTCACATTTGCTAGTTTCCAGCATTTACTGAATCAGTCTGGTCTAGAAACAGAGTATGGAAATCACCTCTTTCACATTTCTTAATCCGGAAGATTATTATAATACCGGCAGCCCCTGGTTCCAAGAGCTTGACAACGGATTCAACAAGAAGCGTAAAAAGGAAGACGAATCGGGGGGCGGGGGTGGCAATGGGTTCTTCAATGAAGGAGAGCTGAACAAGAGTGGATATGGAGATATCCTTGCCTCGTTATTGTTATTAGAAGAAGAAGCAAAGCAGGAGCAAGATCAGTGGACAACTGAATCTCAACAAGACAAGGCTTTCTTTGAATTCAATCACAAGAGAAAAGTTCAAGCAATGAATGAGTATTACAATCAGCTTCAACAGCATTACTCTGAGGCTGATCATTTGGATGGTTTAACTGCAAAACGAGCTCGTAATTCAGCTTCTGCCATGGCAGCTACTGTTGCTGCAACAGCAACAGCAGCAGGGAATGACAATGTCAACGTGGGCAATGAAACGGGAAGCGGGTCGGGTCCGCAAAGGAGGTTATGGGTGAAGGATCGATCGAAGGACTGGTGGGACCGTTGTAATCATCCGGATTTTCCAGAGGAAGAGTTCCGGAAGGCGTTTCGGATGAGTAAAGCCACGTTTGAAATGATATGCCAGGAGTTGGAACCGGCGGTGACGAAAAAGAACACCATGTTGAGGGATGCGATCCCGGTCCGACAGCGAGTGGCTGTCTGTATCTGGAGGTTGGCTACAGGGGAGCCGCTTAGGCTGGTTTCGAAACGATTCGGGTTGGGAATTTCAACCTGTCACAAGCTGGTACTGGAGGTATGTTCAGCCATAAGATCTGTCATGATGCCCAAGCTTCTTCAATGGCCTGATGACAGGAAAATGAAAGATATCAAGCAAGAATTCGAGTCGACATCAGGGATTCCTAACATAGGTGGCTCAATGTACACAACTCATGTGCCAATTATAGCACCCAAGGTCAACGTAGCAGCTTATTTTAACAAAAGGCACACAGAAAGAAACCAGAAACCTTCTTACTCGATTACTGTCCAAGGTGTGGTCGATCAGAAAGGGATTTTCACTGATGTTTGTATCGGATGGCCTGGTTCAATGCCTGATGATCAGGTATTGGAGAATTCTGCTTTATTCCAGAGGGCTAACAAGGGGGTTTTGAAGGAAGTTTGGATCGTTGGGAATTCTGGGTACCCTTTGATGGACTGGGTTCTGGTTCCTTACACGCATCAGAATCTGACTTGGGCTCAGCATGGTTTCAATGAAAAGATTGGCGAGATTCAAAAGGTTGCTTCGCAGGCATTTGCGAGGTTGAAAGGGAGGTGGTCTAGCTTGCAAAAGAGAACCGAGGTGAAGCTCCAAGAATTGCCCATGGTGCTTGGGGCTTGCTGTGTTTTGCACAATATTTGCGAGATGAGAAATGAGGAGATGGACCCGGAACTACAGTTCGAGCTTTTTGATGATGAGATAATACCTGCGAATAATTTGAGGTCTGCGAAGGCTGTGCATGCCAGGGATCAAATTGCTCACAATCTGTTACACCATGGCCTTGGAGGCACTGGTTTTCTATAGTCTTTTACATGAAAGATCAATATCAACTACAGCACATATTGCAACCATTCATCACCACCAGTTTTGACAAATTTGACTGACTGACAATTTTTGTCGCACATTATACCCTTGATGTATTATTACAATAATTCTTGTAAACATCTGTTTGAGTTTCTAGACATTTTCTATGTTGTCCCCTCTTAAAATATGAAACATATACTCTCTACTGAGGTGTATAAAGCTAGAAACTTTTCTTTACTGTCACATAAGGCACAACGATGCATGCAAAGGACAACCTTGGTTTATGTTCTCGACTCGACAATGATTTGTCTCTGAGCAACAATCGTCTAAAGGCTTAGTATACAAAAAAATTTTAACTGATACAAATGATAAGCCTCTCCTCAATCTGTAATGCTTAAAACAATTATTCAGTGGGTCCCAGGGAATTGCAACTCACTAGCAACATTGAGTTCAGATCACCAGCTACACATGCATTTCGTGATTGTGCTCAGGCACATGAATCAAAAGACGGAACGAATGAAAGGATGTGAGAAAACAAAATAAAAAACCTTAGTATTTTGGGACATTTGTCTGTGCAAAAATACGGTAGGTACAACAGAGCGCTCACTTGATGCCATGAAATGATGGCAACACTGCAATAAGGGGGTCTCCGTAACCAACAGCATCTGTCCAACACAGTTGAAACAAAGGCAGATTTTGTGTATCAGACATGTAGCACCATCCAGAATGTTTCAAAAACTCAACAATCATGATAACTAAAAGGTGTAACTTGATCAGGTTCTACTAACCAAGGAAGGATGGACTCTCAAACATCCATCACCCTCCTAGTACCAAACATAACAAATAGGAAAATTCATGCAATTCATCCTGTCAGTCTTTTGCTTGGACAGGGAATTGACGGACATCATTGAACCAGTAGCTCATGCTGACTGTTAAGGTTATGAATAAATATATGCAATTGTAATAACAGCCCAGGTTTAGGTTTACGCATCTCTGGCAGCACCCATTGTTTGCCGTAATGCAATCAATCCTAGCACCGCTAATTATGCATGTGATATTGCATCAAATGAAAAGCTGATTGAACTTACCCATTATAAAGAGACTTTAGATATTAAGATATAAAAATAAATATGAAATGTGGATAGACATTATACCTCCATCATCAAAGAGGAGCTTTAAGACTTCTCCAGCAACATCTGACTGTTCAACAAAACAAGAACACACCATTAGACACCTAATTTTTAAAGAAAAACTATAACTAACAAATGGAAATAATTTGAACTCACCTTAACAGGAAGTTCAGTACCAAATTGATCCAAGAATCCTATCACTTGTCCTTCTTTGATCAAATCACCCTGCAAGTATTTTTTCACTGCAACTTATGAGGATCAAGAAAAGCCAGTTGAAGTTACAAGGCCATGACAATAAGAAATCAACAGCATCGACAGGTAGAGCCATCAGATTTCAGTTCAAAGGAAACTTGTGGCAAAGGCATAACTAGGGTGGATGATAATAACTCAGTTAAAAGTACAAAGTTAGTATGTACAGAGTTTACTACCAAAAGATGCTGTCCTGTAGATAGAAAATATATCCAAAGACCTTTGTTTTTGACCTTAGTATCTGTAGAAACAAACTACCCAAATTCATTTCCCAAAAAAAAAACCTGCCCAAAATTGGCATCTTCACTCACTTACATGGCTATACATTAATCCTTTTGGGGAAAGGCCATTAGTATCTCCTAGAATTTAGCCCCAGCATATACAACTCAAGCTTTTGTGCAGGTAACAAATATTTGACACTTGACAAATACAAGAACTCGAAATACATGGAAATACAAAAATTTAGAACAGAAAGGCTAATTAACAATTTGACAAATCTCCATTATTCATTATCAAAGAATGTGTTAGCTTACAATGCAAAAATTCAGACAGGAACTAATACCTCCTTACAGATGGGAGGTTGCTTCTTTCCTTTCACTGTTCTACCCCTTCGGAATGTGCCAACCTGCAGTTACATGATGGCTTTATAAAGACAGTGTTCCAAAGAAATAAAAAGAAAACATAGTCCTTGCTCTTGATGAACAGCACATACTATAGGAGAAGGCACTAGAACATAGTTACTGGATCCAGAAGCTTCCAAGGCAGCTAACTTGGGTGACTTCCCAAAGGCGGCATTTTTAAATGGAGTAGGCTTCTCTGGGGAGGGTTTTGGTGGTGAGGGAGGTGGGGCAACAGCAGCTGATTCATTCATTGGTTTAGTTGGAATGGGTGGGGCTGTTGTAGGTGAAATGTTGGACAAGGGAGCTTTTGTGGCACCAACATTCCGTTTCAGATGCATTTCAAAGTCTCCAATCTGTCACAAAGCAACAGACAATTGATCAGAAAACGTAATATAGGAAAATGAAACAACATTCATATAAAAAACTTAAATCCTGCAGATGGCCAACTGCATTACATCCATTCAATGATCAAATGATCAACGTGGAAGGTTTCATCACTCATGATTTTCAAACAAGCACTGAGACATATCCTTACAGAAAATTTTCAGGTCAGTCAATGAGTCATAAGAAAAAGTTTAGAAGAAGTATGCAAGTATATCACATGACAAGAGAATAAGAAATAACCTTCATTTTCAGTTCAGCCACCTCAGTCTCATCACATACCTCCAGTACCAATGCCTGACAATTTAAGCATTTATATGTTAATTATCTAGCAAATTAGAATCAAAAGAAAGAAAATCTTATTAAATCAATACGAAAGGAGCAAAAGGTACAGTGAATAAATGATAACCATAAGAAAAAGTCAATAGAAGACTCATCAAAGAAGAAAATTGCAATAGACATGGTAGAAACTACACAACAGCAACATAAAGACAGAAAGTGAGCAATTTTGTTAGCATTGAAAACAAAGAATACTCAATATTAGCATTGCTCTCACAAATTTTGTTAAACTCCTCCATATCAGAATTACTAAAGAGAATAAAGTTCAAGACAAACTAGCACTATTAGTAATTCTTTGCTCCAAATGGGGCAGATACCAATATTAAGCTAAAAAGCAACAACAATCAAGTTGTTTACATTTAAGAAACAATGATGACCCAACTTGAAAACATAAAAGCAATCACAAAAAAGAAAAACATTATGAATTATTTTTGTAGCACCAATAAACTCTTCTTAAAAAGAAGTTAGCAATAACAAGCAAGAGTAGAAAAGAAAGTCAATTTGCAGATTTAATTATTACCTCAAACCCATTTGGAAAAGTTGCATTCCGTGAAGTTTTCTTCTCCAATGAGCCTTGTGCGGTGCTATCTAATGGAAGTGTGGCAACCATAATTAACAGCTTTTAACATACAAAACCAGACACAATGCACAGGCTACAATGTAATTACATAATAAGTGACTTAAAAACTATTATGCTTTCAGTAATTAAGGAAAAAAAAAAGTGATTTTGCTTTCCAAAACCGGTATAAATCTGCAACAAGTGAAGTGCCATGTCTGAACAGAAGAAGAGCCCAAATGCAACAGATATAGGTATATTTTAGCACAATGTCATGGTTCAATTGCAGTTAAACCATAATTAACAAATTTATGCAAATGAGGGCCATAAAAATATTTTATCTAAAGTCAATATAAACTCACCATTTGACTTGGCTGTTACAGAAGCTTCAGGTGTCTTCACACATGATATTAGAGTTACATTTCGTTTTGTAGAAGAATTATTCTTCCCGTCAAACATCAAGCCTGGGAGACATGATTTTCTTGAAGTGGGCAAGCCGCAAGAATACACATGAACAGTACTTGGCCTTTCCAGTAAGCAATGTGCTTGTGAAACAGCACCTACAGAATCTGAAATTTTAATAACAGAATATGAGCTTTCAGAGGCAAATAAAGCCATATATGCAAAATTTAAATTTCATGAAATCAAGTCCTCACAGCCATACTTTGCTAAGGTCAAGATTTCAAAAACTATATAATAAGAAATGGACGCCAACAAAGTACTTGATAAGCCAAGAAGAAACATGATCTTACAAAGTATCTCAACTAAAAAAAAAAACCAATTCATAATGCTGAAACTATTCAAAATCCATTGATTCTGTCACATGATGGTTAGAGGAATACAACTTTAATTGGCATTTTAAGAACCAAGAAGCCTTCTAAGCACCTTCTTTATCTCTCAGTTTCTCCTTTCTTTGTTGAAGGTGGGCATTGGCAAATTGAAAAGCTTAAATTAGCTTCCACTACAAACTCCCAAAGACATCTTCCTTTTTTCTTTTTTCTTTTGAGTATTGATTATTGAAGATTGAACTTAGCAGAGGTGGAGGGAAAGGAGGCTAGTAAGGGGCCACGCCCCCTTAAAATTTTAAAATTTAATAATTCTTCTTTGTTTTTTTTTTTTTCAAATTTTATAATTTTGTCCCTTATTTTTTAAAAAAAAAATTATAATTTCATTCCTACAATTTCTTATTTTCACTCCCTCAAATATGAAATTCTGGCTCTGAAACTTAGCATGATCTCCAATAATAGAAACTTATATATAAATATCGATAATATCAACAGTAAAAACTCGATTCTTATTCTTATGGAAATTAGATTCAGAAACTTAGCTAGCTTAAAGATATTGCTTAATATTCAACTTTCTCAATTGATATTCACAGTGTATAAGAAAGAATTCAAGGCAGATCTCAGCATTTTTTAGCTAAATTTCAAATTTCTCTACGTCAAAGCTCTATAACTTACACTAAATCGCCAAAATTTACTACAACAAAAAAAAAGGGAAACAAAGACAATTATTAGAATCGAAACAGATATAAAACACTCAAAAATGATTCCGAAATGTCACCGTTTCTTCACCCACTGAAAACAGTTGTCCTTTCTTTTCTCTCTTCGTTTCCAATGTAACCAAACAAAAACTCAATCAAACAAAGAGAAATAAACATAACAAGAGAGAACGAGGGAGAGGGAGAGCGAGAGAGAGTTACAGTGAAAGGATCGGAGAGCAGCGGAGGACTCCATTGGAATCGACAATGAGGAGAACGAGAGCGAGAGAGAGAGAGAGAGAGAGAGCGGAGATATAGAGGAAAAAGCGGGGGCAAAATCGAGAAGATTGAAATGAATATAAAAGAGAGCGGGGTTTGGTTAGCTGAACAGTTGGTGAAAGAGATTGCAGCTTCGAAATGTCCGCCTTTGTCCTCAGTTTCTCCACCTGACCCCCTAGCCTTCTCTTTCTAAGCTTTAAAGCTCCGTACCTCTCTAACTTACGCCTCAGGTGTTGCCCGCCTCCAGTTTACGTGGCACCCTTTTGAGAGCCCATTGAGTCTGGACCGGCTCAATCCGACTTTTTTGTGGGCTTTGGCCTAAAACTAACTGTTTTTTTAGCCCAAAGTGAGCAATATTCTATTAAAATCGAATTAATCGAAATAAATTCAGTTAATTTGAAAATGAACACGATTAAATCGATTAATTCTTTCAGTTTTGATTTTGAAATATTTTAATATTTTTAAAAATTTTTGTTGAAATATTCTAATGTTATTGAAGATTTCATAACTTAATTTTGTTTACTTTATAATTACCATAAAAAGAAATAAAAATAAAAAAATTACATTTGAATCTGAAATTTCGATTAATTGGATTACTAATCAAATTAATTTGATTAATCGGTTAATAGTTACTTTAAGAGAGAACTTAGTTTTTACAAAGTGAATATACAAGAAGAAATTGATCAGTTTCTAGTTTACATGGTGATGGGAAAACAAGCTTGGCTAAGAAATGTTGAGATGGAGGATTTCTCTGAATTCCAGCCTCCTAGTCTCATTGTAAAATGTTCTATGTTTATTAGGCCAATATGTTAGCCAAATCCAACCTCTGATTTCCCACTCCATGGTTTTCCCCATGGCACTCTTATCAACCTTCCACCAGATTTTTTCTCCATATTCATCCCCAGCAAAGATCACCCCTCCCTGCCTGGTGAAAGGCCGGTGAAGGTTGGAGTACCGGTCTTTGAACCAAGCCTTGGGGTTGATCAAAGCAAGTTTCGAAGGTTTCGAGGAGACCACCTCCCTTCCATCCACGCTGTCGTGAAGGAACCAATTCAAGCTCCCACTGTAGCCATTGACAGATTGCTCGAACTTCCATGGCTTCATGCTAATCGTCGTAGTCTCTCCCGCGGAAACCTTGAGTCCCAAGAAAGAGTTTGGAGGATCAAACGAGGTCTCTATGCTTTTCTCTATCTCTATCTCTCTTGCTGGGTTCTCTGTCGATTTGCTTACCGAAACGCTTAATATGTTGGACTGAAGAGTTGGGGTTACTTGCAATGATACTCTCGAAGGGAAATGCTTGTCGTCTGCCCCAACTCCTCGTTCGTTCATCAGAGTCTCGTTTACAAGCCGGATTATGTTACATCTGTTAACACGTAGGATGATACAGCCACATCAGGACAGCTTTATGATTACCTTTTTTGTGATGAAAAGATGTGTTTACCTTATGTTATCGATGTTCAGCATCACATCGATCCATTTCTCTTGCACTATGACCTTGTAATTGACTTGGATAACCCCTTCAAGCTGGTGGTAATGAAGGGAGAAAAGCAGCCTCTGGTCATCAACAGAAGGATTGCTTGAACTTTCTATATCCATGGCTATGACAGGACAGTATAGTTGAACTTTCCACAAACCGAACGTTGAAATTGAATATGAGAACAGCGGGGATGGCGTCTTCATCAGGGTGCGGTGTGTAGCTTGAAGCTCCACGATCCAATTGGTGATGGCGAGGTTTATGGACCGCATCCATTGCTCCTCTAAGTTCGATCCCAGGAGTCTCATCAGCGTTTTCGAAGCTTCTCTCAGCTGCGAGCATGCCAGCTGATTCTTGAGAGTATTCAGACATGCTGAACGGAGATCAACAGGGGCTTCGTAGATGCAAATAAGAAGTGCAAGAGTGAGGAATGAGAGATTGAAGATGCCTTTGAGACCAGACACGGATTCGAGTTTCGGGAATCTGATCAAGGAGTTGTTCTTGTTTGAGCCATAGCTAAGGACATCTTGTATGAAGTTGAGCATGAGACAGGAAATGGCTCCTTCATCCAACAGTTTAGAGGACTTGGGGTTGATTGTTAAGGGCTTTGAGGCCCAAAGAGGAATGAAGACACTGAAATCAGCGACTATGGAGATGGAGAGAGTTGAAGAATGAGGGTTTTTTGCCACAGAGAGTTTGAGGGATGGATGGGATGAACTTGATGAAGAACATATGCATACAGACATGGAACTTGTTTTCCATTGAGTGATTGGAGGAAGGCTTTGAATCCAGGTAAACATATCAGGATTGCAGCAGGAAGCCATTGTTAAAGCTTGATTATTATCAACTTTTTTCTTGTCTATCCGCGAAACAAAATTCATATGGATGATCTTTTTCATTTAAAGACACCCATCAATGGGTGCAAAACTAAAGATTCTCGTGGGGAAGCAAAGTCAAAAATGAAGGGAATCAATGCATGGAAAAGATAGAAGAATAAAACATCTCTACTTTTGTATTGAGAAAGCAAACTCTTTCAGTTGGATTATCTTACAAGGAAATTTCTCACTTCAAGATTCCTTTAGGACACAGCCTACAAAGACAATACCCATAAACCAACAAACAATCCCATCATTATTGGCTCAATGATGAGAAAAAGAAACAAAAAAGTCTTTCTTTAGATTACAATAATAAAATGGATATTATCGATATCGTGTACAATTACAATAATGAAATTAGTATTAAACACGGTCTAAATATTCTGATTTTATCTTTGCAAGTAAAGTCGTTTCTCATAAAGATAGAACGAACTTGTAAAACATTATCTTATATAGATTAAGTAACAAAACACTATGGAAAAAGGGCAGCAAGCAATTTACTCCAATAATGCTAATTTTATGAGCAAACAACACACACTATTTAAACAAAGATAAACTATACTCGACGGAATAATCAAGTTTAAGATATGATAAAGTTAAATAAATTGCATACATATAAGATTTTAGACTATTTCTGATGAAATAATTAGGCTTAAGACACAGTCAGATTTAAATGAATATGCTTGCTTATAGGAATTCAAAACGTCTAGGAAAGAATGTATGCTCTTTTTTTCTAAATCAAAGTTCTAATCATCAATAAGTTGTTTTGACCAATTATTTTATGTCAAAGAAGTAAATGATTAAAGTGATAATGGATTAAGATGTTAGGCTAATTAAACACTCAAATTTTTATTTTTGCATTTAGTATAAACAAATAAATAAAATAAAGTTGTATATGTAAATATTTTTCTTAATCTAGAACCAAGGATTTTATTTCATTTAATTCTATCGCTTTTGATTTGAAATTTTTTCAATAAACTAAATTAATTTATTTAATTTGGTTTAATGGTAAAATTTTTATTTCAACTGATTCGATTAAAAGAAAATTTTTAATTGAATTAGCTATTTGCACATCCTTATTATAATACTTTAATATATTAATATAAATGTTTTCGATCATATATATAGTAAATTATATACTTATGCAATAAGTACATTCTTAATCTAACATGAATCTTTAATTGTAATAGTGTCTAATGCAATTCATCCCTATGCTAATTAGATACATTAATCCAAATGTAATGTATATTGATAAAAGCCTAAATTACTTCTTATATTAATAGAAATACTCATAATGTGTGTATTCCATTCCGATTTTATTCTTGTCAAATTCTAAATGTAAGATTACTTTATTGTTATGATTACACATATCGTCTGTGTCTAATGTAATCCTAATTATGCTAATAAGATATCAATCTAAGCCTAACGACTAATGTAATCCTTATGCGTTTCTAAATTTGCAAATTTAATCCTAAGATTAGTCACGTAATTATCACCTCTTAGTTTTTATTTTCATAATAAAAAATAAGAAAATGAGTTTCTCTCCCCTGAAAACCAGCCCATCCGAAACTCTTCATCATGACCGCTAATTTGAAATCTATACCCAATAAACCGTCTATTGTAATGCATGGAAGCGTAACCCAAAATAAAAACTAACACCGTTAGCCACGAGCTCCCTCCCCTCTTATCTTTGCGATACTTAAAGGCCCATTGCATAGCAACCGCTGTAACGTTGAAAGAATCGCACGCGCCACCAGCATTTCTGAACTGACCCGCCACCCATGGCGAACCCCGCGACCATTCCGATGACGAGCTCTCAAACCACGGCGGCTAGCGGGGCCCAGTCACAACCCCCGATAGCTACGCCCGCTTTCCGGGCGTTCCTTTCGCGCCTCACGTCCTCGATCCGTCAGGGACTCTCCCAACGCCGTCCATGGTACGAACTCATCGATCGTTCTGCCATGGCCCGTCCCGATAATCTAACGGATGCCTATTCCCGGATCCGCAAAAACCTCTCGTACTTCAAAGTTAATTACATAACTCTGCTCGTGGTTGTTCTCGCTTTCTCTCTCCTCTCTCATCCCCTTTCCCTTCTCGTCCTCCTTGGGCTCCTCGCTGCGTGGGTCTTCCTATACCTCTTCCGACCGTCGGATCAACCTCTCGTGCTCTTCGGCCGCACGTTCTCCGATCGCGAGACCCTTGGCGCGCTGGTGGTGTTGACCGTCTTCGTTGTGTTCTTGACCAGCGTTGGATCGCTCTTGATCTCCGCGCTTTTGATCGGAGTCGCCATCGTTTGCCTACATGGTGCATTCAGGGTTCCAGAGGACTTGTTTTTAGACGATCAGGAGCCTGCGAACACCGGATTCCTCTCCTTCCTTGGCGGCGCCGCCTCCTCAGCTGCTGCTGCGGCGGCCCCAGCAGTTGCCTCACGCGTTTGAACAACAGATCTTTGAAGCTGAACGTGCGTATGATTTTTTTACCTTCGTTTATGGTAAATCAAAAATGATTTACTGTTTTCATGATAGATTAAAAGATTCAATTGTAGCTTTGTTGTCTTGTTTGTATTTAGATTTGGATCTGAACTTGGATTAAGAGTTAGATCTTATTGTGTCGTCATTTGGATGTTCTAGTATTTACCACTTGAAATTTTGATTTTGATGAGATTTAGATTTAGGTTTAGCTCATTAACTACATCATTGTTTTATGCATTCTCTATCTGTTTATTGTGGAGATTTTATGCTGTTGATTTTTCATATCAGTTGTGAGAATTTAGGAGGTTTTGGAGGTAATTGTTGGTCACATCATTATTAAGTATATGAAGTTACTACTTGTAATTGTTCAATTTTCTTACACTGGCAAATTAGAAAGAATTCGAGATGGTTTAGAGAAAGGTTTATGCTAGCTAACTGTTGTAGCTGGTATGGAGAAAGGTGAAGGTTTTGGTTTTTACTTGTTATTGAAAGTGAGGGTTTAGGATCAAAAGAGCTCTAATTGGGCGCTTTAAGGGAATTTTTGTGTTTCTTTTGGTTTGAGTGAGTTCATTAAGGTTCTGGCTAGTTAGCTGGCTTGGCCTATAGCTGTGGTTTTTTCTTAAATATTGAATATTGATTCTAGTTGACAAGATGTTGGGCATTTAATAGCTTGGTTGGTTGGTATCAAGTAGAAACTAGGAATATTTTTGGCTTCAATGATTAGGTGATACTGTTTGGTTAGCTGCTGTAGTTTATGCTATTTTGATAGAGGGGAATCATCAACCTTCTCGTGCAAGGAATGAAATTTCTGAGGAATTGGAGTTAAAACTGTTCCATCTTTGCTTTGCCAAAAGTTGCCCAAGATTATTTGTAGTGCTATTTGTGAGATATGTCGGCCATTGTTGTTTAAGTTTGTGTTATTATGTAATATTGCTGGTACTAATTCAAATTTCTGTTTGCTTCCTTTTGGTTGTTGAGGTTCTGCTTGTAAGTTTATGGTGTGGGATTAAGAGTAACAATTTGCTGACCAAGAGCTTTATGAACTACAATACTAGCATTCACATGTCATTTCCAAATGGTAATATGGTCTTCTATGCTCATGCTCATACACTCATGGAACTCCTAGGTTCTTAGAAAAGTGCAATTGCAATCCTTGCTTGTGCTAAAACCCTAGCTTCTTATTTGTTTTTTGTTCCAAGTCACTAACATGCAAAGTAGCATCCATCTTCCCAAGAGTGATTTATGTACATATAATCATTTTTGGTGATGGTGGTTTTGGGCATTTTTACATAGATGACTGGCGTAAGATAACCCTTTATGGGATTCACCATGAGACTATTATCATTGTAGTGCGTAAGAAAGTGTAGATGGATCTTAACGGATCATGATTTAGGGTAAATCATATAGAGTAGTCCTTGTAACACCTAATATGAGAGCATGTAGTAGTGACTAGGTATTTGACAGTTAGACTGAAATTCTTTGGCTAGATGCAAATTATTAACAAATAGTTTTATTGCCCATAATATATTTGCCATTATTTGCCAAAAGTTGCTATTCATGTCATCCATGTCCAAAGTGTTCTGCTATTTACGCATAACAGTACCATTTTAAAAAAGTAATGCAGCCTCCATACCTCCCATAAACCATTATGTGCTGCTGTCTCAGCAAAGTTTTAGCTAAATAAGCATTTTCTGTTCTGGTAATATGTTCCGCATCAACTGCTGGCTCTTGTCCATGTATTGGATAGGCCAGGCTTGGAGTTGATGTATGGTAAAGCAAAGATAGAGATGGCGTTCTTCTAATTATTCTATGTTTAAACCCAAATTGTCGTGGAAGGGACATTGGAGTAGATTTCCCGGGTTCCTGGTGGAGTAGCTTTGAGTTAGGTTTCATATTCTGTCTCAAATCAGGTTCTCTACGTCTTTGGGTACGAGTCATGTTGGGCTGTTTTCTGTTACAGTGCGTGTACTAACTAGAGAATTTTCTTTGTACTCGTAACACATGAATATTCTATTGACTACAGGATGTACGGATTGAAAAATACATTTTGTTGCCGCACCCCAAGTACATGACTAATAAAATAATTGGCATTGTTGCTATAAAAATGGAGATGAGTGCCAGGAATCCTTAATGGCCATGAGAGTGGAAATATGCATTCATTCTCTGATTCTGAGTCGAAACCGCACATAATCATTCCATCTCTAATTCGGTGGCCCTGATACTTAGATGAAACGCGGAGTTTCTACCAGGCCAGGATGGAAAGAAGAGGCCTCCAATCAAGAAGGGAGGCAGCGGAAGTCCAGGATCGGGCCTGGCTAACGAATAGTCTTCTAAGAGCCAGGTCCAAACCTAATGATGATGATGACGACAAAGCCTTTTCGGGTTGGCAATCAGGACAGGTTAGCTCGACGAAACTCGAACCTTTCCAAAATGGGTACTCATCATTAACTGTAAAAAGGTTACCTCTCGTGTGTCGTTATTCTCACCGTACGAGGGTGAAAAATCTCGAAACAGCGTCTAATCCAACGACGTACATCGAACAAGGACCCCCGTCCTTACTTTATCGTTTTTGTCAGGAAATTCAAAGTTGAGAGACAGTGACATGTCATCTTAACTTCGTATCATTAAACTATAATCCCCCACAGCCACCTTGGGAAACCTCATGGCTGCAATGGTCATTCCAATTATAAAGGCTAGCCATTGTGTTTTGAAACTTTGTGACCTCTTTTATCGTTGATTTGATGATTTTTTTAGTATTGTTTTCATAATTTTACATCATGTGATGGTAGAAATAAATAATTTAAGCATTCATAACCAAATAAATGGATAATAAATAAATTAAGAATTGTACAAAAATACGATAATATGATGTATTAATTATATCTTAAATGGATTTTAAATAAATTTTAAATTCATATTATTTTGTGTTGTCGTACTATATACAAAATTATATAATTTAACACGAGCATATTTTGGTAATACCCGAATATAATCTCCTGCAGGTGTTTGTTGGTAGGACCCAATTGAGAAAGATAGCCGTTAGAGGAGCGGCGAGGGCAATAAAAGACCACATATTCAATCCATGAACTGGTCAAAGAAAAAAACAAATGTATAGGAAAATCATGGAGCATTGAGAATAGAGAAAAAAGAAATGTTAATGTTTTGGGTGTGATCAGAAAGAAACTAGCCGTTAGGCTTGTGAGTGGTGCAAGAGGGGAAGAAGAGCCTCTGCTCCCTTATTGCATCCACCTGACAATTTGTCTCCTGTTTTTTTTTTTTTTTCTCTCCCAATACAAAATGATTCTTCTCTCTCCCTCTAAGAGCTTCACGTGCTCTTTCACAGTAAAACCCCACCTCTCTCTGGGCTCTTCCTCTCTTACTACAAAACCCTCCCACAACTACCATTTCCCCTGTTTCATTCCTCCATGCCAATAGGGAAAGCAGAATCAAACTTGAGAGAAAGGAAGAGAGGGAAAACAAAAACGAATATATTATATATATAACTACTGTTTCTTTTTCTTCTTCTTTGACGTTTAGCTTTTTGTATTCTTTGCCACTCCTTAATGGCAATAGAGAAGCAAGATTTTGAGTTTTTGATTTGTAGAGATGTAGATTGGCGTTGCATTTCGAATAAGAAGAAGGAGAAATGGAAGGACGTTTCCCTTTTTTCTTACATTTTCTTGCTTCTGCAGCTGCTCGGGTGCTTCTTCATTCAACCGATTTCAAGTCAGGCCTGGGATGGTGTCATTGTCATAGCAGCTGATTTTCAAGCACTTCAAGCGTTTAAGCAAGAGTTAATTGACCCAAAAGGGTTCTTAAAGAGCTGGAACGACAGTGGCTATGGAGCTTGTTCTGGTGGTTGGGTTGGAATCAAGTGTGCTCAAGGGCAAGTCATAGTTATCCAACTCCCATGGAAAGGACTAGGTGGCAGAATCACTGAGAAAATTGGGCAATTCCAAGCACTTCGAAAGCTTAGCCTTCATGATAATCTCATTGGCGGCTCCATCCCTCAAGCATTAGGCATTCTCCCTGATCTTAGAGGTGTTCAGCTGTTCAGTAACAGGCTTTCAGGTTCAATTCCTGCTTCATTAGGTTCATGTCCTTTGCTTCAAACTCTTGACCTTAGTAATAATTCACTCACTGGGACAATCCCTGAGAGTCTTGCAAACTCTACTAAGCTTTACAGGCTCAACGTTAGCTTCAATTCTTTGTCAGGATCAATCCCAGTTTCTTTCACTCATTCTACTTCTCTTATTTTTCTTGCACTTCAACACAACAACCTTTCTGGTTCTATCCCAGATTCTTGGGGTGCAACACAAAAGAATAGCTTTTATCAACTTCAATACTTAACCCTTGACCATAACTTCCTTTCTGGAAGCATACCTGCCTCTTTAGGAAAGTTAAGTGAGCTCCAAGAGGTTTCTCTTAGTCATAATCTGATTACTGGACCCATACCAAGTCTTATGGGAAGTCTTTCTATGCTCAGGAATCTAGATCTTTCTAATAATGCAATTAATGGAAGCTTGCCTTCTAGTCTCTCCAACCTTTCCTCTCTTGTTCTGTTAAACCTGGAAAGCAATGATCTTGAAAATCAAATACCAGAATCCATTGACAGTTTACATAACCTTTCTGTTCTTGTTTTGAAGAGCAACAAATTTAGTGGTCCAATTCCAGCAACTGTTGGGAACATTTCCAGTTTAACTCAACTTGATTTGTCAGAGAATACGCTTAGTGGAGAAATCCCATTTTCTCTTGCTGAACTCAAAGGTCTTAATTCTTTAAATGTTTCATATAACAACCTCTCTGGTCCTGTTCCAACTCCACTCTCCCAAAAGTTCAACTCAAGCTCTTTTGTGGGAAATATTCAGTTATGTGGATATACTGGATCAACTCCATGCCCTGCTCCAGCACCTTCTCAAAATGTCCCTTCTTCACCATCCAAGAAATCGAGACATAAACATAGAAAATTGAGTACCAAAGATATAATCCTAATTGCTGCAGGAGCCCTTCTTATAGTTCTGCTTGTTCTTTGTTTCATTTTGCTGTGTTGCTTGATCAAAAGAAGGGCAACATCGAAGGCAAAAAATGGTCAAACAACCAGAGCTGCTGCTGCAGCAAGGGGTGAAAAGGGAACTCCAGCACCTGGTGGTGAAGTTGAAGCAGGAGGAGAGGCTGGTGGGAAACTAGTCCATTTTGATGGGCCCATGGTTTTTACTGCTGATGATCTTTTGTGTGCAACTGCGGAAATTATGGGGAAGAGCACCTACGGGACAGTCTATAAGGCCACATTAGAGGATGGAAACCAGGTGGCAGTGAAGAGACTTAGAGAAAAGATTACCAAAGGTGAGAGAGAATTTGAAAATGAAGTCAATGTGCTAGGCAAAATCCGTCACCTGAATCTTCTGGCTTTGAGGGCTTATTACTTAGGACCTAAGGGAGAGAAGCTTCTTGTTTTTGATTACATGCCTAAAGGGAGTCTTGCAACTTTCCTTCATGGTAAGTAAAATGCAATCTATAACTATTTTGATTTCTAAAATATTGCAGTATTCGTCCAGCTAATAATGTGTTCTATCCTGCTGCAGCTCGAGGGCCAGACACACCCATTGATTGGCCAACAAGGATGAGAATAGCAAAGGGTGTTACTCGAGGCCTGCTGTACCTTCACACTCAAGAGAACATAATTCATGGGAACCTTACATCAAGCAATGTGTTACTTGATGAGGACACAACTGCTAAAATAGCAGATTTTGGCCTTTCTCGTCTAATGACAGCTGCTGCAAATGCTAATGTAATTGCAACAGCTGGAGCATTAGGCTACAGAGCACCGGAGCTTTCAAAGCTCAAGAAAGCCAACACAAAGACTGATGTGTACAGCCTTGGGGTTATCATATTAGAACTCCTAACGGGGAAATCTCCTGGAGAGGCAATGAATGGTGTGGATTTGCCACAATGGGTTGCCTCTATAGTGAAAGAAGAGTGGACGAATGAAGTCTTTGATCTGGAGTTGATGAGGGATGCATCTTCCATTGGTGATGAGTTATTAAACACTTTGAAACTGGCTTTGCATTGTGTTGATCCATCACCATCTGCACGACCAGAAGTTCAACAGGTTCTCCAGCAACTAGATGAGATTAGGCTAGAGACACCTGCTAGTTCTGGACCCTCTGGTGATGATGGAGCAGCAGGTCCTTCAACAAGCGAGTGAGAAAAGGGTTTTAGGAGTTGGGTTTATGTATCTAGGCAATAGAGTATAATTCTTTTATTCTTACAAGGTATCTTAAGATATTAATTTTGTGTGCCAATCTATGAGTCTGTAAATATGAGTATCTTTCAATTGCTCGAGGATGTTGTCTTCAATTGTCATGATTTAGTTTAATAGTTGGTTTCCTTCCATCCCCTGGAAAGACTAGGCAATTTTGAAATTGTCTGCAATTGATTCACTGCAGAAAAGATTGTTTTTCAGTTAAAATTTTTTGGCCGGTAAGAGTAAGTTTGAATTCGAGTTCCTTTTGATGGCTTATTAGAGAATTATAGTTCCAACTTAATCAAGCATCTGCCATAAAATTAATCCCAGAAAAAATGAAAAGTTTATCAAAGTTTTGATCAGTATGAATTAAGAATATGATTCAAGAGAAGGCTCGATAAAGAATGGACCTCAAATAGGCTAGTGCCTCCAGTAATGATTGGAAATCCTGCATAAGATTATGACCTTTAGATTGTGATGATTGATCCATCTTCCATTGCTAAGCTACAAGCTTTATTCACAAATGTCATGGCTCTTGTAGTTTCAGTTCAGACAATGACAAGTTACAGCATGCCAGTCTCTAGTTTCTGGCCAATAAGCTTCAGTCCATGTGGGTGCAGGAATTGCTGAAATTGATGTTAAACCTAAACATTATGTTGCACTAATGAAATTTCTGGTGCAATTTTCAGAAGTTTACATTATTTTTGCATAAATGGAATTGCCGATGCTGGCTCTTAATGAATTTCCCAATATGGATTGCGTCAACTACAGCCTCTGGTGGGCCACACTGTTCATATAACCCTTTGTCAGAAGACTCAAACCTTCTAAAAAAAAGTGCCTTTCTGACTATCATTAAGAGCCTGTCAATCCTTTTGAAGGTACCTAAAAAGGGGATTTCATTACTGCCTTTAAATTATTTGTTTGGTGAAACTTTGTTTTTTGTCAAGTAATTCAGAAAAAAAAAAAAAAGAAACCCCATTAATTAGTTGTTCCATTTTGTGAGATTCAATCAGAAAGTGGTTGGGGGGCTGCATTTCCTTGTTTTTCTGTCAGCCATTTGGTTTTGGCCTCTTGCACCTTTATTTCATTTCCCTTCAATTTCCCTCTACCAATGCTAGTATAGCTTGTAAACCAAGTTGTTCATGAAAGAGATCAATCAATGTGTACCTAAAGAGAGAAAAAAGGGAACCAATTGTTTCACTTTAGCAACTTTTTCCACAATGCTAAAATGATGCTGATCAGTATAGCCCTTGATGCTTAATGGTATAGAATTTCAGGATTCAAACCAGGACAGAAACTGGAAACTACCATGGATATTGACACATTCCATGGTAATCTGAATGTTCAACACCCAAATAAGCGAATTCCTTTAACTATCCATCACTGTCTGCATAAATTTATCAGACAGCAAAATTTCTAACTCTAGCTGCATTTCCACAGAGCAGAATGCTGCAGTCTTTTTTGATCAGCGAATATGACTGAAATTGACGGAGTTAAACATTCCATAAGTTTTTCACACCAACCTATAACTACCAGTGAAAATGATAAGCTAAGAAAGCAAGTGGGGGAAATATATATATACATATATATATATATATATATATATATAACAGAGAGAAAAGTTTTATGGAAAGACAAAGCAGAAGTAAACTTTGACAAGGAAACTTCTGCTCTTCCATCAATTTTTTCATTTTCCTTCATTACTTTTAACGACCTCCTTTCGTACTTTTTATTTTCTTCTCAAGATTCTGAAAAGTCGATAACAAACTCTACCAACTTTGTTAATTGTTCCTTCAATTTTGTTCACCTATCTAATCCTAATCGTCTCTTTCTCTCTCTGTTAATTGACATGCTTCTCTTAAAAGAGACTAACCGTTGTCACTCAAACTTGTTTGGCCTTTGCTGTTGTTTCTGAGTAGTAGCCATTGATGCCACTGAACAAATTAACTAGTCCTTAAGGATAAATCATTTTTCCTTGTTTTTTAAGATATTTTCTCTTACAATTTCTTATAGCCATTATCTATCATGGTCATAGTATAGGGCTGGATCTTGAATAACTTATAGCATACACCAATAGATTCTTACAAAACAGACCAAAATCATGACATTAGCCCAAAACTTGGTTTCTTTTAAATGCAATCTACAGGAGTAGCTTTCATCACTAATTTTAATTCTTTCCCATTATTTTGTAACTCTAAAACGTTGTAGTATATCAGTTTGTTTCTTCCTACCCTATTCTGACAGTGACAGTTTCCTCCATTTGCTGTCTTTTCGCCATATGTTCCTGAACAACTAGCCAATGTCATCTCAGGCAATTCCAGACAAAACTCTGTTATGTTGTTTCCATTACAAACTTGGGGAAAAGGGTATTTTTATTTTTGGGTATTTAAGGATAAAACAATCAAATTTACTCTTTTTTTCACTGCAAAAATTGATTGGTGAAAGTAAAAGTTCTTTGTCTTTCCAGGAGACATTTTTCCTTTGGTGGTTACCAACTAAACAGGAAAAGAAAATGAACCAGGTCTTCCCTTGCCATTCAGTGGTTCCTTATTTTGCAACATTCCCCATTCTTTTTTTTCAAAGTTCATTGCAGCATTTAAGGTTTTTTCAAATGTAAGAAAACGATTTTCATTACAAATTACATGGGGTTTGATACAAGTACAAGCCATGCATATCTTAGTGGGAAAAAGATTATCTTGCCAATAGAAATTTAAGACCAAATTTTAATCAAAACACAAGCAACACGTGAGCAAACAAAATATACAGCGACAAGGTTCTACTGGTTTCATCAAACATGCCAACATTCAAGAAAAAAGAGCATACAGTTTCCTACTCAAGATGTTGTTTCGAACGTCCGTTAACTGTTTCATGACAACCTACCTAATTCCACATACAATGAAACTCCAAAAATGACCGGTTGAAGTATCCACCAGACTTGTTGTTAAGAAAAATTAGTAGTTAGACTCAATCAAAATCTCTCTTCATAGTCATAAATAACAAATAATACTTTCCCACCAAATAATAGTGGACTTCTACACACGATTTTGTTTTCTTTGAAAGGAGACTAGCTTAGATTCAATCTGTGGGGCTTTGAGTCCACATTCAACCTAAATTAATCGATTCAAACCTTTGGTATCAGGCCACGTCCGTGTGAGTAAACAGATCAAAAATGGTCTCTGACTCTGCCATGGGGCTGATCTTAAATGACTCTGACAGATTAAATAAAATTTTCTTCACTGAGTTAGTCATTTCAGGAAATTTATTAAACACAGCCTGTAAGCTTTTAAGCCTTCCAGGTTCTTTTGGTGAAAAGAAGGAAACAATTTTCAAATGAAAAGATTACATTAACCCAACAATTTTTTTTTTTTTGTTTTTGAGTGGGCCATTAGACATTTTCTTAATGGGAAACCATGGACTTTCCAGGATGTAATCTTTTCATTTTTCACTACTCTTAAGGAAAATGTCATGTTGGGTTAATGTAAATAGCAATGCCCTCAATCTCTTTCTTTCAATGGCTTAGCCAACATCAAATTGATCCCTGTCTAATTAGAAAGTTGAGTTCAAAGAAAGTGATATGTTTCCTGTCTGCAATGTTGAAGCTTAGTTTTCCAATGGTAATGCAGGTCCCTTTTCGATAAGGATAAATTTGCTCCCACGGATTAATACATTTTACACGTTTTCTATTTAAAAGAACAAATTTAAAATGAAAAACAATGGGTTTGCAAAAAACCCATAAAAGAGTAATCTCTATTGAGTATATGTACGTAGCTGCTTGGGAAATGTTTTTGGAGCAAAGTGTTACTTTCTTGGTTTGGCTAGAAAATAATGGTTTTGACTTTCAATCTTTAATTTGATGTGTGTACATCAAGGATACATGAAAATCATTTGATATCAGAATCAGCAACTTTAACTAATTAAGTAAAATATTTACAGGGACAAGACAGTTTGTTGCCCTACAAAATCTGGTGATAATGATGACTTGCTGAAAATCAAACCCCTCCCCAATGAAATCCGTGTGAAGCAAGCATTCAAGAAATTAGTCACTTTTAATAGGCTAGTGGGTGCAACAACTCCTACAGGTTGAACTAAGTTTTGCCTGGAATACGACCATTTTGCTGAATCAAAACCTAATCCGCCAACCTCAAACAACCTTCTAATCTTCCTATAAAAGGGCTCTCCTCTCTCTCTCTCTCTCACTCACATTCTCTCATCGATCAGCTTCACACTCAAAAGAAAAAAGAAAGCTATAGCTAGCTTCAGGATGGAGACTTTCAAGGACTTTTCCATCATTTTCCTAGGCCTTTTCCTTCTCATTTGTTCTGCATTGTCCTTAGCAAATGCAGAAGTTCAACAACATCAATTTGTCGTATGTCTTTCTTCTTTACTTCCTTCATTGATCCTCTCTGATTTCGTTAGCAATTTAGCCTTAGTTGCTTTGTTGTTTCTTTATTCTCTTAAGCTTCTTGTTTCTTTTAGTACATTTAGCTAAATCAAACACTTTGATCTAACGAAACAGATCCAAGCAACACCAGTGAAGAGGCTGTGCAAGACTCACAGCAGCATCACTGTCAATGGCATGTTCCCGGGGCCGACCCTGGAGGTCAAGAATGGAGACACCCTTGAAGTTAAAGTTATCAACAAAGCTAGATATAATGTCACCATTCACTGGTAATTATTAATTGCAACCTCATGCATATATGCATGCATGAGATTCGGCTTTCTACATAAACATGGTTTTCTTCATGCTGATATCAACATCTACTCTTAACAACAAAGATATCTGACTCCTTTATTATCATAAATGTTTCTGGATCTCACAGGTAATAAATATCTTAAAACCGAAATAATTTGTATTATTTATTACAACTTTTCTATGAACATAATTATTTGCGCATAGGACATAAAAAAATAATTATTGTTCTCGTCAATTACCATAAAGCTAGATAATAAACAATTTTAATGTTACAGGCATGGCGTTAGGCAAATGAGAACCGGATGGGCAGATGGACCGGAATTTGTGACTCAGTGCCCCATCAGACCTGGAGGAAGTTACACCTACAGGTTCACAATCCAAGGACAAGAAGGAACATTGTGGTGGCATGCTCACAGTTCATGGCTTAGAGCCACTGTTTATGGAGCTCTGATCATCCGTCCGAGAGAAGGAGAATCCTACCCTTTCCCTAAACCCCAGCGCGAAACACCGATCCTACTAGGTAAATCAATGAATGATTCTTCAGTTTAAACAAAATCAGTTCTGATTTGGGGAGATGATTATTATTATGAGGATTATATCATGAATCTTATGCGATGATTATCTTTCAGGTGAATGGTGGGATGCAAACCCCATTGATGTTGTGAGGGAAGCAACAAGGACAGGAGCAGCTCCAAATGTCTCTGATGCATATACCATCAATGCTCAACCTGGTGACCTCTACAAATGCTCCAGCAAAGGTTTGCTTTCTTTAAGTTCCTTTATTTCACGTTCTCTAGAGTTCGGATGGTTCTAGTTTGTCCACATCACTGTTAGGTACACTGAATAAATCAAATGGAAATCATAGCCAACTCTATATAATTTTTAATATGTGATGTTTTTCTTCTGTTTACAAGCATCAGGGCCCCCATTGTTGTTGGAAAATTACACATGGAAACTCCTGGAGACAAATCTTGGGTTTTAGATTAGCCAGGTTTAATTATCAGAACCAACACATTTTTTTATTAATGAAAACAGAACACAGATGCTTAGATGTCAGATATCAGTTTATAGCATCTTAAAGACAACCAACCGACTGTTGCACGATGTATATTTTAACAGCAAAAAGGAGTGTGACTTACCCATGGATGGTCAAGGCCCGTCAGTCTCAGTCTGATTCCTACTCAGGATAATAACCATAATAACTGAAATTTCCTGGAGATTGACGTGGTTGAAAATTTTCCTTTTTGTTTTGCAGACACTACGATTGTTCCCATAGATTCTGGCGAGACAAACCTCCTAAGAGTCATCAACGCCGCCCTGAACCAACCGCTTTTCTTCACAGTGGCCAACCATAAGCTAACAGTTGTTGGTGCCGATGCCTCCTATGTTAAACCCTTCACCACTTCAGTCATCATGTTAGGCCCTGGGCAAACCACTGACGTTCTGATCAGAGGCGACCAGGCACCGTCTCGATACTACATGGCAGCCCGCGCCTACCAAAGCGCCCAAAACGCACCCTTCGACAACACTACCACCACAGCCATTCTTGAATACAAGTCTGCCCCTTGCCCTGCCAAAAAAGGCCTCGCACCCAAACCAATTATGCCTTCTCTGCCGGCCTACAATGACACCAACACTGTCACAGCCTTCAGCCGAAGCTTTAGGAGTCCCCAAAAAGTTGAAGTTCCAACTGATATTGACGAAAGCCTCTTCTTCACGGTTGGTCTAGGACTCAACAACTGCCCACCAAATTTCCACAGGAGTCGTTGTCAAGGACCAAACGGTACACGTTTCACTGCCAGCATGAACAATGTCTCATTCGTGCTCCCGGGAAACTTCTCCCTGTTGCAAGCTCACCAACAAGGCATTCCAGGAGTATTCACCACAGATTTTCCAGGAACCCCTCCAGTGAAATTTGATTACACTGGAAACGTGAGCCAATCTCTCTTCCAGCCTGCTACAGGAACTAAGCTGTACAAATTGAAGTATGGTTCAAAGGTACAAATAGTGATTCAAGACACAAGCATTGTCACCCCTGAGAACCACCCAATTCATCTTCACGGATACGATTTCTACATCATCGCAGAAGGCTTTGGAAACTTCAATCCTCAAAAAGATACTTCTAAATTCAATCTTGTTGATCCACCTCTCAGGAACACAGTTGGAGTGCCTGTGAATGGATGGGCAGTCATTAGATTCGTTGCGGATAATCCAGGTAACAATAGTACTTAAGGGCCTTCAGATTATTTCAGATCGTCTTTCAATGGGATATCCTTCATTTGATGCTCAAATTTCAACTCTTTTCTTAACAGGTGTCTGGCTAATGCACTGTCACTTGGATGTTCACATTACTTGGGGTCTGGCCATGGCCTTCTTGGTTGAGAATGGACTTGGAGAATTGCAGACTCTCCAAGCACCACCACCAGATTTGCCTATATGTTAGGATTCATCAGTTCTCCAGAAACACTACAATTAATTGAAACTCATAGGCTCAATAAGAAGGGTTAATTACCTTCTTTCTTCTTATTTTTTTTTTCTTGTCATATTCTTAGTATACAAATTCAGGGTTATTTTCCCTGCATCTGGGGACTAGTTTATCCTCTGTTTCATTGTTTTCTTTGAGTTAGATAAAGCGGGTGTTAAGTAGGAGATGGTGCTGTGGTTGAAACTTTCGAGTACCATCTGAATTTAGCTTTGCACCCGCCATGTTTTCCTGATTCCGGGTTGTATTCTTTTCCCTACAGTTAAGATAAATTTGAAGCTTTTTTTGAAATATATGCCTTGTTCTTTCTTTTCACAATGATGTTATAGGTTTACATGAGCAGTGAAAGAAAGATAAAAGAAGAAAATTGAAAGGATTAGTCAATGTGGGTATAACAACATTGACATGAATCAGGAAAACGACATTGACAACTAAGAATCTAGATTTGGTTGAAGATATGGCAACTGAACTAAGAAAAGTGTCATCCTTTATCAGAGTATGATAGAAGAAACTGGTTTTCTTTGTTCGAACAAATAAAAAAAGCAAAACTGTTGTGTGTAATTTCTAAAATTCAATATGATTCTACATCTTCCAATCTAATGTTCTGAGTTTGTGACACCTTCTCAAGAAAAGAAGCAATTCTTTTCTGAAAAGGTAAGATTAATGATACAAATGAAGTACATTAGCCATAAAAGTAAGCAAATCTGGTGGATTTCTGGTTTCTTTCACCAAAATGCTGCAACACCAGCACGGACATCATTCCCCCACAAAAATCCGGCGCAGCCATGGCGTCACCAATGACCCCGAGCTCTGGATACTGTGTCCAAGCGATCAATCCTTCTTCAAACTGTGAGTTGCACCCTTGCCGCTTTCCCACAATCACAAGGTTATAGCCATTTGCTAAAGATCCAAGTGCAATCATTACTTCCTCACTGTTATCCGCCACCATCTCATGACAAACAACACAAGCATTGCCAACGTTCATAGCCTTGAAGTCTCTGAACAAAGAGTCATCTAGCTCTCTCTCATCCTCAAATCCCCTTGCACAATTTCCTCTCAAGTGAATCCTCAATACGGTGATTGCAATGTTAGGATGACTTGACATGCGTGCTGCAAAGGCTAACACCTCACGATCATCAGCTCCGCCAAGAAAGATCACCGCCACATTATAAGAGAAGCTATTTACACTAATATGGGTGCTCAACCCTCTGTCAACTAGGATCCCAACCGTGCACCTTGAAAATTCTTGGATGTTAGTGTTGAAAATCCGCAAGCTGCCTTCGATGCTATGGACTTCTTCGCTCTTGAAAAAGGGAACTAGAACTAGGGGCGTACGTATCGCTTCAGCAAGCCTGCAAATGGGTTCATGCATGTACTTAAATGGAGAAATCATTCTGAAGGGTTGAATATGAACTGGACCCTGTGAGGTTTTTGAGTAGTTTAGAAATGCTCGCATAATGCTATCAGAGCCATTGGGCATGCTAAACCTTCTTTTATGATTTTTGTAAGGGACTAGAAGTGGAATAGTTTGGGTAGACAGTGGAACAAGATGGATCACGTAGGCACAGATTGGGGTCACTTCCGTGGGGTTCAACGCTTCAAGGAGGCTAATGAAGCTTGGGACGTTGTCTTCATCTTCAATGCAGGAAATGATCCGTAATTCTCCGACGCTTGAAGTCATTCCAAGCGACCTACTGCGTAGTTTGACAGAGATAGGATCAAGAGTTTTCACCTCAGGCTTGTAGAAGATCTCTATTATGGGTGTTATAATGCCATTGAGGATGACGATGCTCAACACAAAAGTTGCAAAATTCTGCTCATCTAATAGCTGCAAGATACCAGCCAGAATTAGATTAGTATTAATTCAGAAATGTAGCTTCTTGTAGAGCTAAACATGTGGATAAAAGGGTATAGAACAAAATCTGACCTTTTGGTGTTTCCACCGAACGCCATTAAGTAGTTCATTCATTCCCTGTAAACTCAAAATAAGGCTAAGCAAAATGGCAGTACTTTTTCTCATGTTGAAAGATGATGAAACCAAGCAACTTCCTACTAGCTTTCCTAAGTACCCCACAAGGATAAGTGCTCCAAAGATGACAAGCTCCGTCCAATCCTGTATCGCGGACAAATTGGTAAAATAACCGATGCGAACAAAGAACAAAGGCAGAAAAAACTCCGAGATCAGAAGTTCAGATTTTTGTATGATTGTTGCACCGAGAGGCGGTCCGTCTGGTATGATTATGCCCATGATCATAGCTGCAGGGCTGAAGGATGCACCTAAAGCGTCAGTGGTCACTCCCAATAACAAAGTCCAAAGTAAAATTGCAATGACATAACGCTCATTCACCGGACTCCCCTTTGGTGTTCTCCTGATAATCCAATGTAGTGCTGGTCGTACAACAAAGATTGCGAATGTTATCAATCCACACAGAGAAAGGAAGGAATACATCATATGTATTGTATCTTTCTGGCCTAAAGCGACTCCGAGCATTACAATCACGAATGAAACAAGTTCGTTGAGCAATGTGATGGATGTGGAAAGTTGTCCCAACTCAGAACTTAAAAGATCAAGTTCATCCAGGGCATGGACAATAACAATGAAATAACTTAGCGACGAAACAATGCTGAATTGGATGGGAAAGAATTGGCCATCCCTAAATCCAGGGAGGAAATGGCGTAGGAATTCAGTGAGGATCATAGTGAAGAAAAAAGGGATGATCGTGCAAGACAACCCGAATCTCCAAGTCTTCTTGGACGTTCTGGAGAACATAGTTGCATCCATTTTGATACATATAATGAATATGTACAAGGTGGTGGCCATGTTTGACATGGTGCCGAGCACCATCATCTCTTTTGGTGCAAACATTCTTTCCATGTATGATTTGCTGCGCCCGAGGACAGAAGGTCCTAGGATAATTCCAGCCTGCAAAAGAAATCCATCCGGCACATTCATTCAAAACAGATGAACATTGTGATACGAACTAGTATGAACAAGCTATATATCTTTTCAAATTACTTGTTTTCAAGTGTCGATGTTCAAAACTCCTTAACATTCAAAAACACGAAAACCTAATAGAAGAAATTAAAGAACCCATAAGAGTGATGAGCCTAAGAATAACATACCAAGATATTGCATACAAGTTTTGGTTGTTTTAATGGCCTGAGAACAATGTAGATCACCCGGGAGATCAAGACAGACAAGATGACTTGAAGCATGAAGACAGGAACGATATAGTTTAAAGGATTACCGCTCGCAAATACGCCCTGGTAATGCATGTTCTTATTGTATAAAACGCAAACCTGAGGGTGGATTACTGTTTTATTTACCGCACCTGAAGCCATCCTGCTACCCTGGAAAAGCTTCAGGTCAGGCAATAAGACAGAATTTGCAGCACCACTCTATATCCAACACCTTCCTAGGAACTATATATGTTTCTGATGAGCGAATACGAGGAAAACCCACATTTAAGAAGAAAAGAAACTAATCTTAATTAGTTAGAAAACCAAATGACAAATTGAGAAATTTAAGGAACAGGTAGTTTTGGCTGTTTACTAGGAAGTCTTGTCTAAATGTTGAGTTGGTGTTGCAGTTTCCATGTCTGAATTACCCGAAATAGAAGACAATTTTTTTGTTTTTTGGGTTAGGATCCCATTTCAATTAAACGGTTGAGATTTACAATTCTAACTATCAGATTAACTGATATTTTATTCTTTGATCTTTTTATAAATTTTGTCGTGAATAATGGTAATGAAAGTTGGAGTACTTCATTAAATCGAGCTATATATTCAGCTTTGGTGGCTTAAGTAGGAAAAAAACCAATGGCATGATAGATTTTGGTTATAGACAATTAGTTAACCCCCCATTAGTTAGCAAGAGACAGTATTTAGAAACCGATTTACCTGTAATTAATAACCTTACAATTTGTCTCAAAAACCAAAGCAAAAACAGATGTAAAATATAGGAGTGATCTTCTTTTTTTTTTAATTTTTGCTGGAGAGAGTTGTTCTAATTTGGGTTTTTTTTTTTTTCAACTTAATGTTAGATTGCAAAAGATAAAAATAGAAGAAAATGATTAATCAATTGAACCCTTAAATAAGAATATATCTTAAGTTCAAATAAATCTATACTATGTCCAACCTTTAAACTATAGATAATATAATATTACCTTACTCCTAAATTTTGATTTATAATGCACAAAAAAGATAAGGGCTTTTTATCATGTAGAAAAATGATCCTAAGTTACTTAATAAAAAGTAAATTTTTAAGTTTTATTTAGTATCCAATAGCGATTTTTATTTAGAATCTAAAGAAAAGGTAAGAGTATTAGTCCATTAGATATTCAAAAGAGAAAAAAAAAAACAACAACTGATAACTGTGCTCTTTCTCCTGAATGTTTAAATTGATTAATTAATGATATTTCCATATGATGATAGGCAATCTGGTATTGTTTAATCATCTGTGTTTCCATAGTTGTTACTGAATATTGGGTTGTTTTTAATTTCTTTGAACCAGCTGACTAATTAATTCTTCAATCTGGAGGAGACAATCAACATTTGATATTATATCTCTCTTTTTGAATTGACAGCAAAATTGATGTGTTTCACGATCTCTCTATCTGAACTAGAATATACTACTTTAGCAATGCTGAAAAGGAACCAATACTATATCTCCTACATTGTGAACTGGATCGATTTTTGGAAGCTTCACCGACCATACAATGTTGCAGGACCAGCACAGACACCGTGCCTCTACGGAAATCCTCCGAGGCAACCATGTCTCCGATCACCCCAAGCTCTGGATGCTCAGTCCAAGTTGCCATGTCTCCCTCAAGCTCTAGATTGCTCCCTTGCCGTTTCCCTACCATGACAAGGTCATACTTGTTCTCTAAGGATCTGATCCAACTCAAAATTTCAATGCTGTTGTTTACTTGGACCTCCAAACATTGTACAAAATCATAGTTTTCGGTTTTTGCCTTGAATTCTGTTAACAATTTGTCGTCAAGCTGCTGCTCTAATTCACTTTGATGTACATTTTCTCTCACGATGATCCTCATTACAGTGATTTGGACACGAGGATGGCCTGACATCCGAGCTGCTAATGCCAAGGCCTCGCGGTCATCAGGTCCACCTACAAACAGCACAGCAATGTTGCAGGAGAATTGAGCACAGGTCACGCAGCTCAACCCCCTTTGTACCAGGATTCCAACCGTGCAAGGTGCATAGGCTTGCGTTTGCACGTTGAAACAGCGGAATTGGGCATTGATTTCACCGACTTGGCTTTTGTGGAATGGAACAATGATGAGAGGAACATGCTTTACTTGAGCTAGCCTGCAGACGTTTTCGTACATGGTCTTATATGGAGCAATCGAGGTGTAGGGCTGAACCGTGACGGATTGTTCCGAAGCAGCTGAATAATTAGTGAAGGCTCGCATAATTCGGCCTGTGCTGCTGCGCCCCACCTTTTTGTAAGGTGCCAGAAGTGGTGTTGCTCGACCAACAAGCTCCACAAGATGGACCACGTAGGCACATATGGTGCTCACAGGCGTCGGGTTGGATGCTTCTAGGAGAGTGATAATGCCATGGACATCATCTTCATTGTGAATACAAGGAAGAATCCTTAATTCCCCAAAGCTTGGAGTCGATTGCAGTGACATTGTACTTAGTTTTGCGGACAAGGAGGTTTCGAGTCTAAGATGAGGCTTGTAAAAGTATTCTATCAGGGGCATTGCAATGGCAGTGATGGTAAGATTGGACAGGATTAGTAGGACAAAAGATTGCTCGTCTATACGCTGAAGCAAAATTAGATTATGGTAAGAAAACATGATTGTGACAATACAGATGTGGATAATCACTCCGAATTTAATAGGATAAAACTAGTAGGAAGCAAAAGAACATTTCTGGACTAACCCGTTTTGTGAGAAATCTGATGAAATAAATAAACTTGAGTACACCCTTCACATTCAACATCGTGCTGAGCAAAAGAACATATCTGACCCTCATTTTGCAGAAACATGAATGCAAACAGACTGACAGGAGTTTCGCTAGAAATCCTGTGATGATGATCAATAGCAGTGCATTGAACTCTTTCCAATCCCGTATTTCAACTACGTTCGCGAGACGACCCAGTCGAAGATAGAAAAAGGGCATAAAAAATTCATTGATGATCAGTTCAGATTTCTCTACTATTGCTGCACCTAGAGGCGGTCCATTTGGTACGATCAGTCCCATAGCAATAATCCCTGGTAGGAAGCTCAGGCCTAGAGCGTCGCTGATTGCTCCCATTGCGAAAGCCCCAAGCAGAGTTGCAACAACATATAATTGATCTACTTGTTTTCCCTCTGGTGTTGTCCTGATAATCCATGATATTGTTGGCCGTACGGCATACAATGCGAAGATTGGGAATGCAGCAAACGAAAGCATAGCTTTAATCGATAATGATTTTGTTTGGTTTGACATAATCAACATCGTCAAGATTGCCCACCCAAACAAATCATTGATCACTGCAGAAGACATGGCAAGTTGGCCTAGCTCCGAGGTTAAGAGCTTGAGCTCATCCATACCATAGGCAATGTCAGATAAAAAACTTGTTGACATGATACCGCATACTGTAAAAGCGGCGATTCCTCCTTGAAATCCTGGCAGGAAATCCCTTAGCAAGTTAAAGAGAGTATAACTGATTCCAAGAGGAACTAACATGGATAATAGGCCGAGACTCCAGTCATCCCTTGCTGTTCTAAAGATCATCCCGGCATCCGTTTTCACTGTAATCAAGAATATAAAGGAGATATTGGAAAATAGGCAGAGGGTATTGACAGCCAACATCTCCTTAGCTGGATATAATTTATCCATTAATGTTGTGTACCGCCCTAGCACCGAAGGTCCTAACAGGAGTCCAGTCTGAAATTAACCAAACAAGTTTCAATATTCAACTGCTTTATCATCGATTCTGAAGTAAATTTCAGCACTATAAGACAAACCACACGTTAAAAGGATCATACCAACAAAACAAAATGAAGAGAAATATGCAAACAAACCATACCAGTACATTGCAGACAACTTTAGGCTGTTTCAAGGGCCTTAGAAGGAAGTATAATGTCCGAGAGAGTATGAAAAACAAGATTATTTGAAACATGGCAAGAGGGATGAAATAATCCAAAGGGTTCTCTCCAAACCAAATGCCTTTCGAGTACATATTCCGTTCATACAACATGCATAACTTTGGGAAAATGGTCTCGTTTATTGCCATTTTGCTCTACCCCCCTGTGAAAGTTTTCTGGTCAGGCAGATCCAAGAATTTCTTCTTGTCTCCTGACCAGTTTTTGTCAATGCCCTGAAATGCTTTGACCATCAAAAAAAGGGCCCCTGCCAGTGCCATATATATATATTCAAGGAATCCTGACTGTAAAAATAGCTTCCACAGGCAATAACGACCTGGCCAAGGTAAAATTGAGAGAATTGAAGAGCTTGGTAGTTTCTGGTCGGCTCATTGATTCTGAATCTTTTCTGTTTTGCCTCAAATAAGGTGCTAACAACTTGTTCTTTATAAGGTCTAATGCCTTCTTTCTTTTTCTCTCTTTTAAAGCATGAGTTGTAAGGAGTAACATGAGGGAAAATGGTCTATTATTAGCATATATAGGCTCAGCTTTTGATTGAAAATACAGGGCCTGTTAATATTAGCAAAACAACTTTGAGGAATTTGGCACCTAGCTTAACATATATAGGGTGTACAATTAAGTAATTGGATTGCTCGGTTACAAGTTATCCAAATAATTAATTTTTAAATCAAAATATCGAAAAATTTATATGCAATTTGAAACTCTTTTAAAAGTTAATACTAATTCAAAATATTTACTACGTCACTGATCACTATATGATAATTATGTGATTAGAGGAAGTATTCTTCGTTTATGACAAATATTAACATTTATTTATAAACATCCATTAAGAATCATAAAATTGATACACTTAAAACACTCAAAACAACTTCATGCTCATGCTCTCTTGTCATGCATGGTTAATTAACACAAACTTTCCTTGCATGTTTTATTGATATGCATGGGAAGCATGCCTTGAAACAAAACTTGAACTTCAAATCCAAAAACGAAAAGAAAGATATATTTTCCCACTTGCATTCTAGATAAAAGAAGCTGAATCCACTAGTAAACTGCCATGGGGATGAATTTCTGGGCCAAGACCAAATCCCATTTTGTATCTGTATCTCACCCTAATAAGGTTGTGAACTATGGGCTTAGCTTGAAATTACTGTTGGAAAAGTACAAAAGCCCATTCCCCAAACCAGCTAGAAGAAGTAAAGTGAAGTGACCTTTTTATCTGAGAATCAGCACTGGCTCCTAACACAAGGATGGGTGGAAAGAGTGAGTGACCTATCCCACCAGCAGAAAGCTGGGCACTTTGGTAATGAAGAAAAAGGAAGGGAAAAAACATAAAAAAACACTAACTTACAGTCCCCTCCTCCCCCTGGCTCTGAAATTACACGTGCTGCTAACCTAACTTCGAAATATCATTTCCTCAGCAAAAACAAGTCCGACAGTTTCGGTGGTTCCCACACCTGCAAACTCAACTCTCAATGATCAATCACTGCCGTCCATTCACAAACGCTCCTTCCCATTTCACCCTCCTCTTCCTTCCTTATTCATCCGACTTGCCATTGAAAGAAAAAAAGTTTCCAGGGCCAGTGGGGGGGCCCTGTACTCTAAGTCATGCAAACACAGGCACAAACCCCAAGATTCTCAGACATATAAATAGAATTCTTCGCCCCGATGTCTTTCTATCCCTTCCTTTTTGTTTTGTCGTTTTTTTTTTACTCTGCTGTCACTCATTACTCACTCATTTCTTCACTTGGTTGTTCCATTTCTCCAAGTTTATTCATTTCAGGCTATATAATCTATCAGGAATCTGATTATTTTTAAGACCCAGATGCTGTTTTCAGGTGAGTTGCTGGAACTGACCCTTTCTTAGATAATAATCATGATCGTGTCAATGATCTTCATATTTTAAGAACACAGACACTCTCTACTAGATACTCAGCTGTCTGCTGATCGTTTTTCTACACTCTATTCATGTGAAAGATGGTTTCTTTTTGTGCTACTCTTTGAGTCTTGCGCACACCTTTTGCGTTCTATACAAATCTCCATAGCTGAGTAAGCAGCGTGGATTGAAAATTTTGTTAATGGATTCAAAAGCAGCTGTCTTTGTAATCAATCCCCACAAAATTTAGTTAAGTTGGATTGTGTCATCCTTTATTTTCTTCTAAAGGCAAAAAATTTGCTCTTGTTTTGCTCCTCTGGTGGTTGCATGAAATGGATGCTTGTATTCAGTCAACTGTATATCTGCTTTCTATGGTAAAGTCTCATCTTTCTTTTGCATTTTCCCCATCCCCTTTTCTTCTCTATGATAATTTATGGAATTTTCTTTATCGGGTAATAAATGAGTGATCCTGCCATTGTTCAGGTAAAATAGGCTGTTTTCTGGCTTTACTGTTATAGTTTTGTTGAAGTGTTACTGTTACAAAGGAGTGATCCTTCTTAACCTTGACGAATCTGTGTGTTAGATTACATTTTCTACTAATGTGTATTTACCCTTCTTTTCAGATTATCTTAACTTTAATTTGCCAAAATGATCTTGAAAGGCTGTTTGTTTCAAGCTCATTTTTGCAGATATATGTGATTCTATACCCTGATTCATTCGTTTCATTGCAGAGCGTTGTTAACTGGTAACAATGAGGAAAAGGCATTTATATCAATCCAAGCATCCATTTAATACATATCGTAAGCATTACCTCCTATCGACCTGTACTTTTACTGTATTTCTTTCTTTATTGATTTTCTTCATTCGAATTGGACTCAAACAGATTTCACTGCTTGTGTAGTTTTTGAGTAGTTTATCACGTAACTGGGCCATTATATTTGTGACATTTCACTTGTAATGAAAGGAGAAAACTGCCAAACTTTGTTTAATCCGCCAGAAAAATGTAAATGTAATTGAATCAGAGTTTCTTCTTGTCGTAATTAAACAATAAAAGTATTTGGACAGAGTCACCGAATTGTTAGTGTAGTTATGACCTTGCTGGGATCGCTGTACTGGATGTTTTGCATCGTGAGTATCTATATGCAGACGATTTGTAACTAACTTCCTAAAGTTCCTTTGAATCGGTACATCAAATTCATCACAATCGGATAAACCTCCCAATAGCTGGCAGTTCCTTGAAGTTAATTTTGCAACTAGTTATCTTTAAATGGTTGAAGTTTTTATTTCATTTAAAAGATTATCCACTTCCATCTTTTCTTTTTAAATGTGAATTTTATTTTTTTGTTGTATTGTTATTTCTCACTGCCCTTTGATTTTGTATTGCTCTGCTGATTTTATGTTTGACAGCTTTTGAGGTCCTCTTCTGCGGTTCATGGCAAGCTGTGGAACTCATAAGAATTAAGAATGGGGTCATGACTATGCATCTGATAGATGATCAATATCTGATTGAGAAACAACCATTCTCTGATTTTCGTGTTAAGTCTAGGCAGGCAACTTTATCTGACTGCACCTGCTTTTTGAGGCCTGGTATTGATGTATGCATTCTTTCAGCCTCTCAGCGGACAGCGATTAATGAAGAGAATCCAGAGCCTGTAAGTTATGTTTTCTTCAGTCGGAGCACTCCAAGATTCATAATTTGAAATTTATTACCATTTGGGGACTTAATATGTTATAAGATGGACTTATGCAGCTTGCATTTATACATTGCGGCTTTTGCTGAGTTACTTTTATTTGGAATTAGCCTTCTTTCTTTATTTCTCATACCTTGCAATGCTTGATTGGAATAATGTCTGACAATATAGTAAATTAATTTCCCCTCACAAATTGACCATAAGAATGGCTCATAGGGGGCATAAATTAGATGCTGATATTCTTGTCATGTGTGGATATCTATAGATGCTAATCTTTAAATACTTGGTTAAATAGTTTATCATTTCTTTGATGCTACTGAGTGATAAATTTACCATCTTGCTAAAACTATGTTTCCAACCTTTCCTTAGCTTTTTTAGATGTTGGAAAGTTGTACTTACTGCTTTCAGTTTTGATCTTCTGATTCTTTCTCTGGTTAGGTTTGGGTTGATGCTAAAATAAGTTCGATTGAGAGGAAGCCGCACAACTCTCAATGCTCGTGCCAGTTTTATGTTAACTTGTATGTTAATCAAGGTCCTCTTGGTTCTGAGAAAGTAATTCTGAGCAAAGAGACTGAAGTAGTAGGGATCGATCAGATTTCTGTCCTCCAAAGGCTTGAAAAGCATGCATGTGATGATCAGCGCTATGGATGGAATTTCTCTGAGGACTGCTGTGAATTGAGACGAACTAAGATATTTTTGGGGAAATTCTTATCTGATATATCATGGTTGCTTGTTACATCTGTTTTGAAGCAAATTGCATTTGATGTGAGATCTGTACAGAACAAGATTGTCTATCAAATTCTGGGTAAAGATGATAGCAGTCCCTTAAATTCTCATACTTATCTCCATGCTGTAAATTTCAAGGTAGACAATGGTATTTCAGTATCCGATGTGGTCCGACTTGACCCCCACCAAATTAATGAAGCTGGTGCTGCTTGTAGCGCACATGAGATCAGACAATGGCCAGTTTATGATGCTATGAACTTGCGACGCTCTAAACGCAGGAATGTACAACCTGAGCGTTTCCTTGGTTGTGATAGTTCTCTGGAGACAGATATTAGCTGGGTTCGAACAGCTCCATTGAGAACTGGCAACTGGAGAGAAGAGGAAGAAGAACAAGAACTAGAAGAAGATATGAACTTACCACTATCGTACTTGTTTGGCATGAATGCAAGTACTTCAAAAGAGCTTACCCAGTGCGAAACAAGTGATGTGTGCAAAAGTAAGAATATATCAAGGGAGTTCAAATCAGATGTGACTGCCCCAAGGAAATCAAGTGCGAATTACCCAAGGAGATCATGTGTGACTAATCCAAGGAAGCATCAAAATAGTCTTGCTATTGTTCCTGTGTCTTCTGAAAGTGATCCTCTTGCCTCTGGACACTGTCATGCCCCAAAATTTCCAAGAAATCATGCAGAAGAGGTTGAAAAAGTATCTTTGAATTATTATACTGTGAAACGCTCTCGTACAACTCAGAGAAAGAAAATTCCTGCTTTAGAATATATGGATTATGAAAGTACATGGAAGGGAATATCTTTCTCAAAGAAAGTACAGAATAAAAGTCATCGTTCTGTTCCTACAAGAAAGGAAGATTATGATGAACCAATAACTTACAAAAGAACAACAATAAGTGCGGGTGCATACAATAAACTGATTAATTCATACATGAAGAACATTGATTCTACATTCACAAAAGAAGAGCCACACATTATTGATCAGTGGAATCAGTTTAAGGAAGCAGCATCCTCTGAAATGAGTAGAAAAACAGAACCAGAACAACCCTCTGTTGAGGATGAGGGAGAAATGTCAGATACTGAAATATTGTGGAGAGAAATGGAACTATGTATGGCATCAGCTTACTTTGAGGAAGATGAGGTAGAGCTATTGAAATTCTTTTCTGGATCAAAATTCTTATATGTGATTATCTATTGATATAAACACCTTCCCCCCACTCCCACCCTCCAACTATGCAGGTTTCTTTGTGGTTAATGTATTTATGCTGGCAAATTTGTGTCTCAGTTAAACTTCTCTTCTTGATGGTTAATTCAGTTTAATTATTCTCAGGCTAGAGTATCTGCTGAGTCTCTGCGGAAATCTAGTGGAAATTGTCAGCATGATTTCAAACTGGATGAAGAAATTGGGGTTCTATGTCGAATCTGTGGCTTTGTGAGAACTGAAATAAAATATGTTTCTGCACCATTTGTAAGTTTGAAACTCATGCTCCTTTTCTTTTTGTTGTCTGTCTCCTAAAGGACGTCATTTTACGTTGCATTGCCACATGTTATAGTAAGGAAGAAAGGAAGCTTTGTTAACTATTAATTGTCAAATATTTGGTACTATGATCTCCAATCCGAGAACGGTATGTCTTAGTTCCTTTCTGGGCTTTCTGTTGTACATATATGCAGGTATCGTTGTTAGCTGCATGGATGCTTTAATGCATTGCCAGCATTTGGATGTGTCTTCTTGTTGGTATTTTTATGGGTTAATTACGTATTCGGTACTTCATTTATAGCGAAACTGTCAATTTGGTATCTGAAGAAAAAAATTCGCATTTAGCTACTCCCAACTTTCATTTTAACAAGCAGATTACATGATGCGTTAACTCCGTTAGTCATATTAGTGACATGTCCAAAAACACCTTACCACTTGCCTAAAATGTCATGTCATTTATTCTTTTTTATTTTCAATTTTTTTAATTTTCTTTTTTTTTTTCTAGCTGGAACATAAAAGCTGGATAGCAGACAATAAAGTTTGCAGTGAGGAGGAGCCAGAGCATAAAACAGATGGAGATGAGG